ACCCTGAGAGTGCAGAGAAAGCTTGGGACGGGACAGCCGGGCAAGGGAACGGAGCTGCAGCAGTGAAGGCCCAGGAGGGCTGGAGGGCTGGGAGTCCTGGCCACGGAGTGTTTGCTCTGGAAGGACTCAGGTCCAGTGTCACTGAGAAGACATGCAGCAAGGGTTTCTGGCCCAGCAGAGCGGTCACACCAAGAGGAGGACGATGATCGTCTTCCCGGGAACCCCGGCCTGGCTGAGAGTCTCCATGGGGCTCTGCTGTCACCAGGGTGGTGAGGCCTACAGGACGGTCATCCAGGCTGGACTCCATGGAGTGCAGTTAGCACCAGGCGTCCTCGGGGCTCCCCCCGAGGTCACTTCCCAGGAATGGCCCTTGGTCACACAGGAGGAAGGAGCCACTGAGCAGTGTGACCCGCAGCGCTCCACGGGCTCTGAAGTCTTTTGTCTGTGGCGTTTCATTTTGTTTTGTTTTACTTTTGAAGAATGTTTTGTGGAGCTAGATATGGTGTCGAATGCCTGTATAACTCGCCATTGGGAGAATAAAGCAGGATCACCAGGAGTTCGGGGCCAGACAGGACGTACAGTGGGTTCAAGGCCAGCCTGACTACGCAGTGATACCCTGCCTCAAAATAAAACTAAAAATAAAGAGAATGTTTCCTTGCTTGTTTTTATATTTGGTAATTACTTTAGCAGATCTTTGCCATTTTGAATCTATACCATTATATAGAGGATTTTATTTTATTTCTTTTTTGTGCCAGAAATCCTACTGGCATGGGTTCAGCTCTCAGCACATCCTTTCCTAGGATACGCAGAACTTTATGGCTGCAGTGAAGGAAATATCTGAGCGTTCTACATAAAGCTTCATGTGTTCCGAGATGGGGTGGGGGAGGTGATGGAATCAGGTCAGTGAGCGTCAGACCATGGGTGACTTCATAGCTCATATGCTGGGAGGCGTAACCTGGGCGGAAGAGTGGGTCACAGCAGCAAACCCGAGGGCCTGTGTCCCTCCTCCCTGGATCTCTGCCTCCCACTGCCCGCCATGGACCGTTTCTCCTCTGCCAGGCCCCATGTCTCGTAGCCAGCCAATTGCAGACTGAATCCTCAACAAACTGTGAGCTAGAATAAACCAAAGTGAAACAGGCTAGCCCAGCTGTTCCCTGTCCAAGGACTTACGTCCTTCAGCAGCTCTCTCCTCTTAGTGTGAGCTCCGTCTACAGAATGACTTCTAACGAGTGGTGTACGATGCACTGCTGCTTCTGGGATTTGGCTGGGAAGACTGTTCCACCTCTTCTCCTTCTGAGCAAAGCCAGCTGACTTACTGGGAACATGCTTCGGAAAGGTTCCCTTCTGGTGACGTGCACTTGTCCAAGAGAAGTCGGTCTTCAATCTGGGAGTAGTGGTATATGCTGGAGTCCTAACACTCTGGGAGGCTGAGCCAGGAGGATTTCATCCTCAAGGCAACCTGGGATATTTAGAGACATCACAAAACTTCACCTCAAATGTAATAAAGAAATAAATCCAAAAGGCCTGGGGTTGTAGGTCAGGCTGTCGGTTCAATCCTCAGTAGGATGAAAAACACAAATTAGCCTCCAGCTCCATGCAGGGAGGACCAGCACCTGCTCCAGTGCCCCGAGGAGTGGATCCTGATAGCTCCTGTCTGAGAGCTGGAAGCAGGACTTCAGCCTCCAAAGCTCCTCAGCAAGGCCTGCAGTCCTCGGAGGCTTGGACTCACGGGCACACAGGATTCGGGCCACAGTGGCTGAGAAAGAGGCGTGTGCTGTGTAAGTCCTGAGGTGAGCAGTCTTAGGTTCTGTTGCAGAAATCTGACATCAAACCAAATGGAAGACCCTTTGCACAGAGGAGCTGGAAGGCCACTGTTTGTTATGCAAGCAGGCTGGCGGGACCAAGTCCAAATCGCCAGCCCCAGCTGAGTGGAACAGAAGCACATGTCTTGTAGGCAGGATGTACAGAAGCTGACAGCAGGTTCTCATATAACTGGTTACTTGAATCGGGTCCTATGGTGTCGGGCAGGTTTGTGTTGGGCAGCTTAGTCACGGGGCTGTTTATCATAAGGCGGGGGAAACAGGGAGGGAGCTGGGGCTAAGGGGTGGTGGAAACTAAGCACATCTTTGACTAGTTTATCTCAGTTGGACAGTCTTGAAAATAGAATCCATTTACACCTTGATCATCAGTGCGGGCAGGCAGATGGATGTGGTCAGAAGGAGTCAGGTTGGGCTGTCTCCGAGTTGGAGTTGGCATGGTCAGCTCAGGCTAACTGAGTCTCATGGTCTGAGTATGTGGTGGGCTCTTGTCTTAGCAGAGAATGAAACATTGATTTTTAACTTCTCTGTCACAGTTCCACGGCAAAAGATAAGTAAGACAGCCTGCAGGAATGGGAATCGCTGTCCCAGGAACTCTCTGTTTCCCCTTGGTATGGCGGTTGAAGCCAGGGCCTTCGCACTGAGCTACAGCCCCGGGCTTTATAGTTCTGCCTTTAGGACACAACACTACAAAATCACTGCTTGACCCAGCCTGGCGCAGGCTTGCCACCCTCCTGCCGCAGGCTCCCCGAGCCCTGGAATGACAGTCGTATGCCAAACCCCGGGCTCCTGGTGGTCTTTCAAGATCTGAGCCTCAGGCAAAATTATAGAAAAGAATGTCTGCACAAATGAGGAAGTTGTAACGAAGGAAAAATACCTTTAGTTTCCCTTTCATTCATTAAAAAAAAAAAAGGACTATTTTTGAGGCAGGGTGACCCTGAGGTGACTACGTAGCCCAGGCCAGCATTGAATTCACAATGACCCTCCTGCCTCAGCCTCGTGAGTGCACCACTATTCCTGGCTACTAATTGAAGAGCAGATCACACGAGGTGACACTGAATCTGTCAGAAGTGTGTTCACTGAAATGTGGAACCATCTGAGCACCTGCGTTATGGCTGTGTGAAGGACCCGATGGAGCCTCACCTCCCCACTTCTGTACGTTTTCCATACGACTTAATCATCTAGGATGACGTGAATGCCATTCGTCAGGAATGATGCCACCCCGTTACCCTCCTCTGCCATGCCCCAGCCCTGGTTTCCTCCGCAGCTTTACTTCCCGGACAGCAGTGTGGAGAATCCACTCTCCTCCTCTCCTGGCTCTGGCCACATCCACCAAGCTCTTGCACCCCTGACCTGTTCTGCTGATTTTTTAGTTGGAGAAATATTTAGTGCATGCTTACTATTCTTGCCCCAGGGACCCAGTCAGGCACTGGGAACCCAGGGCCCTGGACTTGGTTAGGGCTCTGCTGCAGAGACTGAGTACTCAGCGCTGCGGTTTGGGGGGTTTCTTCTCCATGGGGGAACACGTGTGTATGGGGCGCCCCTTGCAGGTTGGGTGCAGGAGGTGCGGTGCTGAAGTATGCATGGCCAGGCCCTGTGGGCCCGCTGGTTTCCTGAGTCCTGCGGGATGGAGCAGGTGAGGAGGGGGGAAGCGTGCGCTGTGTGGGTAGAGCCCTTGGGGACCGGGTCTGAGCAGTGCCCTGCGGGAAGTGCGGGCAGGGAGCAGCAGTTGCCTGCTGGCTGAGGCTGGCTGGCTTGCCAGTGTGGATTGCCCACATCTCCTCCCAGCTTCGAGTTTGATGAAGTCAGACTGGTACCCTGGAGTCGGCCTGGGAGAGATTATTTATGCATGCGTGTCTGCGCGTGCTGCAAGTGCACCCCTGAGCACCGCATAGGCAGGAGCTCGGTGGACCTCTCCCAGAGCTGCTGCGGGAGGGGGAAGAGGTCAGGACAGAGGCCGGGGGAGGGATGCGTGGTCTGCAGGGGGGCCTCAGGGCAGCCAGGGCGGCGTGGGCAGGACACAGGATACCCTGGGCTTCCTTCTAAAGCAAACGTGGGATACCCGTGCACTTACTTGGGCGAAGGAGTGACAGCGTGTGACTTAGGCTTTGGACTGGACGGGGGAGGGAAGGATCAGGGCCCCGGGCGGCTGTGGCCGTCCTCCTGATAGGTGCAGGCTGTACAGAGAGCTCCTGGACGCTCTCATTTTCTCAGAGGGCAGCAGTGAACCCCGGGGAGGCTGGAAACATTCTTGTCTGGTACTCGGCACTCAGGAAGCCCTCAGCGGATGACGGCTGCAGGGTCACAGAGCCAGTGCCCACCCCGGGGAGGAAGAGGTGACCCAGCATCAGTGCCAGATGGGGAACACAGGGTTCGGGGTGAGAACCCTACGCAGAGCAGCCCCACTCAGTGTGGGTACTGGGTCTGGGCAGGGGTGCCACGGCTTCTGCCTTGATGTCCCCACAGAGCTGGGCTTCTAGGAGGTGGCCTGGGGATAGCAGATGAGAGCAGTCCAGGAACTGAAAGGCATCTAGTCCACCTAGCTTCGTGCGTGTTTAATGTAGTGTGGAGGAAAACATCGGTTCGGTACTGTTACTGCCCGGTGTGTGCACCGTGACGCCGCGAGGAAGATCTTCCAGTCCATTTTGCACAAAAGGAACCAGGGCTAGCACGTGGGGTAAATGATTCTCGTGCTGCATGGCCCCTGGGTGGCTCAGGTGAGTTTGGCTTTACGTCCTTTACCCTACTACAAAATTCACCTTAAAAGCTGTGACCAGCATGGGAGCCACGTGGGGCCAAAGACCACGTTAGTTTCTGTATACTCAGAACACAAAGAGCGCCTCCCCCCGGCAGGTAAATTTGCAAAAAGGGTTTGCGGGCAGCTGATCACCCAGCACAGGGTTAACAAACAGAATAGCAAAGGCACAACGGTGGATCTTAGCCCGAATAGCAAGTCAGGACTCCCTTCGCATCCCTTCGAGGGAGATTATTCCTGGAAAGCAGAATAAGGGAACTCCTTGATCTGATGTGAAAACCCGCACACAGGCACGCAGGTCCTGACCCAGGCACTGTGTGTGGTGCAGCTGCCCCAGCTGACACTTTGAAGGTGGGCTGCGGGCCGGTGTGTCTTTGTAGGAAAAGGTGCCAGGGCATCTTAGAAATAAACACGACGAGGACAAAGCATTTGAAGGCAGAAAATGTGGATTAGAAAATACTCAGGCACGTGGGCAAATGATCAGTGACTAAACACTCCCTGTTGACCGTGGATGTGTTTTAAGCTCGAGTCTGGGCCCTCCTGCCTCTTGTGGACAGGTAAGGAGCCGAGGATTCCAGGGGATAGCACTGCCTAATACTCCAGTGTCACTGTCTTTGTCTTGAGGTATTCATTTAGGGCTTCTTCACCTAGGGAAGAGAAGAGAAGCTGAAAGACTGTGATCAAAATTGTACGCTCGCTGAGTAAAGTGGTGCATGCCTGTTATCCCAGCACTCAGGAGGCTGAGGCAGGAGGATTACGGCAAGGTTGAGGCCAGCCTTGGCTACAAAGTGAGCTCAAAGTCAGCCTGAACTACACAGCCAAACCCTCTCTCAAAAAGACAAAAATAAATACACAAATACATGGTATGTTCTCATCAGACTGTGGAAGGGGAGGGGGCAGTGTTTCCCAGATTGTTTATTATTTTGGTGGGGTTTTTTTCTTTCTTTCTTTGAGTCCTATTTCCGAAAATGGCCCCCCTTGTTTCCCATGCAACCTCCAGTTTACTTCCGTTCCGGCTACAGTTCCTGTTACCTCTGTTTCCCAGAAACAGCTGTCACTATGATGCACACTGCACAAACCAATCCCCCGCTGGCAGCCATTCTGTCTCCCTCCCTGAGCCGCTGGGGCCTGACATTTTTTGAGATCAGTGCCCGCTGACATCAGTAAATCTGCCTCCAAATCCTGGGTGACATTTGGGGCTTTGTTTGCTGATGCAGTCTCCCTCTGTAGTTCAGGCTGACCTTGAACTCACTGTGAAGCCCGGGCTGGCCTCAGACTCATGGAGAACCACCTGCCTCAGCTTCCTGAGCGCTGAGATTGTATCACGCACTACTCTACCCAGTTACTGTTTAATGTTTCTCAAAAGGCAACACTCTTGTGAGCCCACATCTACATGCCAGGCAGGAAGCGCCCTTCAGAGCAGCTCACAAGAAGTTCTTTCTTTATTTGTGGTTTTCCCATGTGGGAGACGAGCAGACCTTCCTTACCCAAGTCTTTCCCGAAGCCGGACTGCTTTACTCCGCCGAATGGGGCGGCCACGTCGGTCTTGTTGTATGTGTTGATGAACACGGTCCCGGCGTCCAGTCTCTCGCTCACATACATGGCTTTGTTTATGTCTCTTGTGAAAACCCCTGAGGCCAAACCATACTCCGTGTTGTTCGCTCGCTGTAGCACACCGTCGATGTCCCTGCGAGACGTTTTAGGGAAGAGAAGAAAACGTGATTGGATATTGCTGGGAGAGGTGGTGCACGCCTGTGATCCCAGCATTCAGGAGGCTGAGGCAGGGGGGGTCACTGTGCATTTGAGAGCAGCCTGGGCTATGTGGTTAATTTGAGGTACCCTGCACTACATAGCCAGGATCTGTCTCAAAACAATAAAATAAAACAAAATCCTCCATTAAATGTAATGCACAGTATTCCAGTGTATGCTCTAGCATCTTTCCTCTGTGCTAGGACCAGGAAAACTTCCTGCCACCTGCCTAAATTTATATGAACTAAACGTTCCAGTCTGACACTGAAAGACCCAGTGAAGTGTCAGAACTGCAATATTTCTATTTGTCTGCCTCTATCGTGCAATGCCTTTTAAAATCCAATCCGAGGTCATCTTGCAGTCTTTCTCAGGGTTACCCTGCTCACCCTCCCTGGCCCTCCCCTCTGTGCCCCACTTCTGCCCTTCTGGAGCCTCCACTGTGTTCCTCCCATATCTGGTCTCCGCCCCCTGGCGCCCCGTGCAGGGTGTCAGGGCCTCACCAGCCCAGGCAGAGCGGGCAGCCCGGGTGGAGGTGCGGAAGGCCCTGAGCAGCCCTGTGAGCCTAGCACACGCTGCCTCTGCCCCGCCTCCACTTAGTCTGGGAAAAACCAACAGCAACAAGGGAGGGACTCAGTGCAAGAAAGATGGACGGGTGCCGAGTGGAGGTCAGCTCTGCTCCGGTGCGGGTGGGAGCACAGGTCCTCGGACTCAGACTTCAGGGACAGCCAGCTCTGCAGTGCTGGTTTAGCTCTTCCCATGTTGGTGGTTCACCTCGTGGGAGCTGGAGGTGGGGTGCTCCCAAAGGCCAAGGCGAACGGGACAGCTCTTTATACTGTGGATGTCTGACGGTCATCGGGCGAGAGGGCGTCAGGGACGCAGGCTTATCAAGGACTCCCTGGAAAAGGTGTGGTCATCTCTGCCTCTGGACTCCCAATGGCATGGTCTTCAGTGTCTGAAAGAGCGGTTCTGGGACCCTGCAGACACCCGAATCTCTGGATGCTCTCGCCTCCTAGTCCCTGATATCAATGGCGTCGTGTTTGCCTCTGACCTGTGCACACCCTGATGCACACTTCGCAGCATCTCCAGATCCTGACTGAGCACAGAGCAATGTAAATGCTCCAGCAATAACGTGCTGCTGTGTTGTTTATGGGACAGAGGCAGGGAAAGTGTTTGTCTCTGTTCAGCACAGTTTTCTAAGACTTCACCACTCTGAGGTTGGCGGGAGTGTAGATGTGGACTGAGCCAGGAGAGCCAGCTCGGCATGCCTCCCCAAGTCAGAGGAGAGCCTGGTTCCCAGGAGCCCCCCACAGCCCATCTCCCCTTTCGCTCCGTGCCCCTGATGCTGAAAAAGGCACGGAATCTCCAGAAATAGTCACAGAACGGGTGGCACCCATCTCATCTCCTGCCTCAGCAAAGACAGGGTCAGTTCCAAAGCCGGAAGGAAAAGCAGCTATGCTGTGTCATGGAGAGACAGCAGGGATTCAGCACGGCGTCGGCAGCGGGATTCTCGGGGAGGGGGGAGCACCGGGAAAGCATCGAACTGGCACAGGAAATCCGCATCCCAGCTTGGGAAGAACTGGGACTCCTCGAGCTCACACATCTGGGTGCACTGCACATGGCAGGGACCCCAAGGTATGAGCGGGCAAGAGGCCGGAGCCGCCTTACGAGTCCCCACCGTCACATGCTGCAGCTCTGCTTCTCTGTCCACTCTTAGGGGGACAGCCAGCTTCCTGGCAACAGCAGCCCCACAAGTGCTGACTTTCTTCATCCTCAGAACGGCCCCCAGAGACAGGGGTGATCATTAACCATGTTTCTCAAGAGAAGAAACTGAGGTGCAGAGTGGCTGAATATCTGGCCGGAGCTCACAGAGGAAGACCAGAGACAGAGGGCACGTCCTCCGGGCACCCACTGGAGGAAGCTCCGAGAGGACGGGGGCTCCAAACACAGTCCATGTGCTCACCTGGGCCCACCTTTGGGGGTCTGGAAGGACAGGGAGGCACCGGTGGGCACCCTTGGGCCCCTTTCTGCGGCCCAGCTCTGTGCCCCTTCTCACAGCGGTGTGTCCCAGTGCCTGAAAAGCCTTTCCAAGTCCCAGTTCATCCTTTCCCAGCTCCTTGCAGGTGAAAGAAACCCAAAGCCATCTAAACACCTCTGTGCAGTCTGCCACAAGACACCAGTGTTCAGTTTGACCTCGGTGACTACAGGACCCACTTCCCTATGAGGACATGAGGGACAGATTTGGGTCCTGTCACAACCAGCATACGTTTACAGTTCATAGTAACTGAGGACTGGTGTTTTCATTCCTTTTTTAGGATAGGATCTTGCTGTGTCGTTGGATTGGTCTTGAACTCCTGATGATCCTCCTGCCTCAGCCTTCCCAGTCCTGGGATTACAATCACGCCTGGTGGACTGTGATCATTTCTCTAAATAGCTGAGCATCAGGCTTCTGGGGCCGTCTTCCTTGATGATAGTAGCTCTGTCTCTTTGGGAAAATCAGATTTTCCTGGTTTCCTTCCACAGGAATGTAAATGGGAAACCTAGCCCTCTCTGTTTTTTGACAACATTTCAAATGTTGCCTGTACAGAAACTGAAATTTAATCAGCTGCCTCATGACAGTCATTAACAAAACAAGGAGATGTTAAAACACATTAGGTTCCACAGCTGGTTAGCAACACACAGATGCTTCTAATTGTCCAATTAAGCTAATCTAGCATCGGGGGAGAAGGATGTGGTCACTGGGTCACACAGGATGGGGGCCGTCCGGTGCAAAGGCCTCTGAAGAACATACCCATTTGGGAACTTAGAAATGACCATAATGGGCCCAAAGGACTCCTCTTTGGCGAGGAACATGTGGTCTTCTACGTCTGTGAACACAGTGGGTTCCATAAAAAAGCCTTTTTCGGAAATAAAGAAGAAAAGCATATCAATTAGAGGTTAAGTCGTTTGCAATGGATAATTCTTTATTAATTCCATTACGGTTTCCTCCCTGGCTCAGTAAAACAGAGAGGAGGCTCATACCTCTACTGAGCACTGGGATTCCTAGGTTCTTTTTTTTTTTATTAAGGTTTTTTTTACTTGAAGGATCAAGCTCATGACCTCACACTTGGCAGCAAACACCTGTGTGCCCCCGCTGAGCTAACAGCCTGGCCTCTGGGTTCTTACTTTTAATTCATTTATTATGGAAATTTCAAATACATGTAAAAGTAAAAATAATATACTAGCAAAATAAATCATCCTTTTTTGCTATGTTTGATTTATCCTGACCTCGATGAAGTATTTTAAAGCAAGATCCCGATATAATTTTCACTCCCAAGTACTTTAGTGCAGGCCAGTTAAAAGCAGGGCTTTAAAAAACAGTCACAACATGGTGTCCCGCTGAGCAAAATTTATGCTCATTCTCCACTTTCGTTTATAGTTTTACTTTTATTTACATTTTATTGTTTGAAAAATGTCTTTTTCTTTTTCAACAATGAACTCACGTGAATTAGAACTCATGTAAGCTGTACACACTGCGCTTGTGGTTGAATTTCTGGAGTGTCTTAACCTAAATAGCCCTGGATTTGCGTGTTTATTTTTCTTTTGCCCGCCTTGCTGACGGGACAGGGCAAGCTGCCCGGTGGGATATCTTGAGTTTTAAATGTCATTCCTTCCTTGGAGCGGTACGGGTTTCTCTATGCCATCTTCTTTTTCTCATTCTTTTTACATAAAACGTAAAATGTACTGTCTTAGCCATCCTTAAGGAAACAGTTCTTTGTGAGTAAACACTGTCCCCGACGATCACCCATGTCCAGCACCATTTCTGGGCTGTGCCTATACACAGCAACTCCCTACGTTGCCCCATCTCATGGACACCGGAGGTTTGACCTGGGGCTGTGACTATTTTCAGGCCAAGTCTCTCCGGCAAGGACACATCAGAGGTGCTGCCGTGTGTTACACGCCGTGCCCCCCAGGAGGGAGACACACTCACCCAGTGTCTCTCGCCGACGCTCAGACTGAGCCGGGCTTCAGGTGGTGACCACCCGGCCCTTCCACAGGGGCTGCGTTTCCCCCTCGTGACTGGCAAGCAGCCTCGGGGCTGTCGCCTTTGCAGACAGCAGGTCCCTGTCAGCCATTTCCCTAAGTACTGTCTTGCTCAATTTACACATTTCCTGAATCAATTATTTCATCCATTAAAGAAGGGCAAAAATGGGGATTTTTTCCCTATCATTTTTGTCTACGTTCATTTGCAGAGATTCTTCTATAAAAAAACAGAATCTCCTCTATGGACTTTGCAGTAAGCCAGGAATCCAGTTCATACACGAAACAGCGGGTAACCCAGTCTCTCTCGTAATTATATGTCAGTGTTCAGAGTGAGGTCTGCCTGTGACAGGAGGGAGTTTCTGTCTCTCCTTCGAGAACGTTACCATCGAGCACCTACAGATCTCAGTCACGGGTCCTTCGCAGCCTCTGCTGGCTGGGGTTAAATCTCAAAGTGGCAAGAAAGAACCCGGGGCCCCAGGCCTGCCACACTGTCTGAGCACCAGGGCAGGGGCCGAGCGCCCGTCACACCACGCTGTCATATACACGGCCTTGCAGAGTGTTCACAGTCCATCCCATCCCACAGAGGAGGAACAGGCACGGGAGAGCTGTGCAATCCAAGGTGCCACAGCCTGTACTCATAGATGGGGGCAGCAACTAAGTCCTCTGAGCGTGTTATAAAGGCCACCGTCCACTTTCGCAATGCCTGGAAGATGGTGCTACAGTGAACACGGTTACCACTGGCTCCCTAGTAAAGAGCCAGGTGCCCATCACCCGCGGGGGTCTTACCTGGCCTCTGGACCTGCCTCCCTCCGTACACCAAGGTGGCCCCCTCTTTCACCCCGGCCTCGCAGTACTGCAGCAGCTTTTCCAGATGGGCCTGGTGGTTCTGGGGCCCGTGATCTGTAGATCTGTCAAGCGGGTCGCCAATCTTCATCTTTTTAATTTCTTCCACCTGGATGTCGCCAGCCCACAAAACAGGATTCACTGTTAGTAATGGTGATGGACACCCCAGCTCCCTCGCTGCCCGGGGGGTGCGAAGCTGTGAGAGATGTGTCCCCACTGACACTCACAGGTGTAAGACAGAGTGGCTAGTCTCCATCTTACAGAAGAATAAACAGAGGCCCAGAGAGGCTAGTGACTTGTCCCAGTGCACAGAGCTAGTGTAGACTGCACCCCTGGGAACACTCCCCATCTGTGCACCTGAACTTGGGCGACACCCCAGCCCAGCCTCCCTCCACTGTGGGGAGAGACCTGGAGAAGTCTGCAGCTCCAGGCCTGAGCACACATGCGCTGGTCCAGCAGTCTGACCCACAGGGACCTTTCCCCTCCAAGGTCACTGAGTGCTTCACAATGGATGGAGTTCTTTATAATTCAAAACTCACAAACACCTCATACACAGAGGCCGCATGTCATACATATAACAGAGCAAACGATGGAAATAACATGCACATGAGACACCCCAGAGGTGACTTAGGACACTGTCATCACTTTTGTCAAGCATAACCAGAGACGCAGTGACAGGTGCCCAGGCAGGGAATGCATCTTTTTAATACTAAAACCTTGATTTATATTCCTCCTTGATTTCCCACCACCTGGTACCACCCCCCACCCACCCACTGAGCACACCTTTCCCCCTCAACTTCAATTAAATGGGGCTGTTAAAAAAAAGCTGTGGTATGCACTTGAAATTCTTTGCTCACTGTACACAAGACTCTGGAATCTCTCAGCATGGACTGTACCAGACCTACTTCCTATAGTGTTTTGGAAGTCCAGGGTTATTTTTCTTTCTGGTCATACTGGGAATTGACCCTGGTGTCTTCACACTGAGTTAAGACCCCATCCCTTTATTATTATTATTATATTATTGTTATTGGAGCTAGGTCTTGCTCATTTGGTCAGGCTGCTGTGGAACCTGTGATCCTCCTGACTCAGCTTCCCTGGGTGCTGGAATCACAGGTGTGTGCTACCACACTTTGCTGAAAGCCCAGGTTCTTGAAAGTTCAATATCTCGGCCACTTTGTTCTAACAGAATAGAAACTCCATCTGCCACAGAAAAGCTACCCTGAATGTTAATTCACAAAGGTAACCAAATGCTGCCGTGGAGTTCACTAATCTGGTGTTCATACACTCTTCATGGCAAAAGCATCTCTAAAATGACCACCTTATTTTGTTTCCCGTCCCTGAATGTAGGAGACTACCCTTGGTGACATCTCCTGGTTGGTCACACTGAGGATTTGCCAGAATGCTTTGGTAGACAAGTCTTTATCAGACAGCGGCCACTGCCACAGGGGCTTCTGTGCGCTTTCTGTGCCTGTTTCTGCATTTTCTGAGCTGAGGAGGCAGGAGATTAGTGTGAGGCCAAATGGCTGAGCGAGTGGGCGTGGCCGGCCGTCACAGAGATTCAGAATCCAGCTTCCAAGCCCGCCTGGGGACCAACCGGATCAAGCAGGGGTCAACAGGACAGCTCGGATCTGATGCTGGCCTGAGGAACGAGGGGCACCGAAGACGGCCACCATTACCCTTGTGGCCATCGTGAGCTCTCTCTGCGGCCCATTCTTGCTCCACACAGCAAACTTCTTCTCTTTCTGACCTCTAATAGACGTAAAGCTGTGCTGCCTCTTCCTGCATCTGGCCCTGCACCTGGAAAGGCTGCAGAATCCTGGAATCTGGTGTCGATAAACCCACTTGTAGGAGGAAAGACCAGGAATGGCCACGCCCCGCAGGGCCTGAGCTTGCACCGGCCTGGCCATGGTCTCCCGGTGCCCTGCACAGAGCCCTGTGTGGCTGGGAAGCCTGAAAGGCAGGGACGCTGTGTCTGCTTTGTCCTTCGCAATCCTGCCCCCAGCACTGCACAGCGAGTGGTACTAAGCAAAGGCCAGGAAATCACTGCGGTGTGAGCGTCACAGCGAGTGCCGGCGTTTGCTGAGGGACTCACACTCAGCACCTCGAGAGCTGTCTCAGCGGGGAAATGTCACCACAGTGCTGCCAACTGTGAAGGCCTGTGACGGGCCGCACTGCAGAGTGGGTTTAATGAGACACAAGTGGAAGGACACTGGGTGATCACAGAGGCGGCACCGGCCACCTGGTCACCTGCCACCCACCGCTCTGTGACTTCCTTGTTCCCGAGCCTGGAGGAAAGAAAACCTCGGCTCCTTTGGTGGCACAGGGGTTGGAACCCGGCTCAGGGAGGGCCAGCGAGTGCTGGTTTTGCCCACAGAAGCCAGCTCATGCTTACCATCGCCTGCAGAATGACCAAGGCAAGGCCACTCCGCAGCTGTCCCCAGCACTCAGCCTAAATGTCCCCAAAGTGACTTTGAGTCCTGCACTTGTGGACCATGACTAAGCTACCGGGGCTCCTGATGTCACGCTGGCAGGAAGATTATACGCTGTCACGTTATCGGCAAACCGATCTGACAGGGTGAGGCCACGTGGCTCGTAATCAATTCAGGGACTTCTAATAAAGACCAGGAGTCTGTGTCGAGGGGTCCAGGGTCTGATTCACCACAAAGGCAGAGCGCCCCGAAGCCTATGTTAATGAAGGATTCTATAGAGACCTTTATCTCGTTACTAGGAAAAATCTCAAACACATAAGAGAAGCAGCCAAATCAGATCATGAAACCCCAAGCGCTGACCCTGCAGGGTGGGCAGCTAGGGACCTCGTCCAGGGTCTCCTGCGGGGCTACACCTGCACGCTTCAGCCTGGGACCATGGCGATGCATAGGGATGAGAAACACTGCACCCCGGCCAGCACCGAGTGTTTAAAACACACCAAGGCACTCACCACACCTACAAGCTCCAGAGCTCATGCACAGTGCTTGGAGCACTTTCCACGGGAAGGAGCAGTCTGGGGACCCTCACTCACCACTCTGGTCACGAATTCGTCGTGGGCAGACTCCTCCACGAACAGCCGCCCAGCCGCGATACAGTTCTCTCCTTTGTTGAAAAACACGGCATCCATGCCCTGGAGAGGAGACCATGGAGGGGAGACCGTGTTACCCAGGTTTGGAAGCCAAGATCACCCTTGAATCCTGTGTGCAGATGGGCGACCCTCCGAGCGCAGGGGTGGTGTGCACCTGTCATCCCAGCACTTGGAAAGCTGAGGCAGGAGGGTCGCCACAAGTTCAAGACCAGCCTGGGCTACACAGAGAGTTCAAGGCCTGAGCTGCACAGTGAGACTCTGTTTTTAAAAAAACCCACGAATAAATAAATAGTTTCTACATTAATTCATAAAAATCACAGTTAGGAAGTCTCCCTTCTCCTCCCAAGGGGAAATCTACTTTTCATAAGCCCTCAAAAATCTTTGAAATTGGAGGCCCTGAAAACTGACAGACTGAAGACTGTGCAGTTCTGTGCAGGTCCTCTTCTCAATCCGATCGCTAATTTACTCCCTGGAAACTTCCTGACACCGGACAAAAGGTAGGAGAGACGCTCTGAAAAACACACATGTCCCACGGGGCAGGTCCTTCCGCGGTGGGTGGGGTGGGGGATGGAGAGGTGGGCAGCGGAGCCACCGCGGCCAGTGCCGACCTCACCGGCTGTGAACAGTCAGTGTCAGTGTCGGAGAAAGGCCCGGGCGCTTCCCTGCAGTGCTGGCACCGCTGCTCTCCCCGCCTGCCTCTGCTCCACCTTAGCAGTTCTGAGTCAATCTGTTCATTCACCGAAGCCACCAAGACAGCAAGGTGGCTGGGGAAGACCTGGCGCTTTCCAAAAGGCCACAGAATCCGGTGCAGAAACAAATCCCTCTCCTCTCTCTCTATTCCCAGTCTTTTCTCTGGGAGAGCTGGACAGCTTTGTAGGAATCCAGGTGTCCCTGGGAGCCCCGACCCCGACGCCAGCTGTGGGGCCCCCAGCTGCTGTTGCTACTGTCACCTCCCGAGGGTCACCATGGGCCCTGGCCCAGGAGGGCTTGGGTCTGCACACCCCCAGGCCTTTCCGTCCTCCCTGAGCCTGCACGGTGCGGGCTGCTGTGGGCTGTGTCCAGCCACAGCTGAGTGCCGTGAATTCGAGGGCTGGAGCCTGGCACAGACTCTGGGGAGCCGCTCCTCTCCTGGGAATCCCCCACAGCCCAGCACTGCCAGCTCATAGTGCTTACTATGAGCCTGTGTCTTGGAGAGCAAACGTGAGACTGGCCCAAGATTGTTTCTTAAGTTTAATTTAAAATGGTTTTATACTTTGAAATAGTTTAAGACAAACAGGTGTTGTCTTAACACACTAAACGTAAGGCATTCCAAGCCGGGCGTGGTGGCGCACACCTGCAACCCCAGCACTCGGGAGGCTGAGGCAGAAAGAGAGCCACAAGTTCAAGACCAGCCAGGACCACATAGCAAGATTCTGTCTCAGGACACCAAAACAAAAAAACCATAGGAGCGCCTAGGTGGCTTCCGTCCTTAGGCTTCCTCTAATATCTCACTGAACTCCTGGGCTCAAGCGATCCCCCTGCCTCAGCCTCCAAGTGCTAGAGCTATGGCTGTTCCACTCTGCCTGCTTGCAATTCCCTTTATCCAGTAGGGAAGCTCGGGTCCAGCCTAACAGTCTTGTCACAGCTTGATTTGTAAAACAGACAAGAGCAGGTCACAGGGTGAGACGTCAGGGGAAAGAAGCCAGAGGCACCCCTCGAATATCTTGAACTTTTTGATATGCTTGCTGTGATTTACATCCCGCCCCCCACTTATTTTTGGAGACAGAGTCTCCCCATGCAATGAAGACTGGTATTGAACTCACTGTGTAGCCCAGGCTGGCCTTGAACTCACCGCAGTCCTCCTGCCTCAGCCTCCCGAGTGCTGGGATTACAGGTGTGTGCCACCATACCCAGCCAACTTGAAAAATGCTTTCACTGGAGGGATTATAAAATTTTTTTTGCAATTAAGAAAATTATAGCAATAAAAAGGATTGCTAGTTATTGACTAGACGAAACCAAGCCTCATTTTAAGCCCTCTGAGAAAGGAGGTGACCCAGGTTTCCGCAGCGGCCCCCGGGGCTCGGGTCTGGCCCCTCCTGCTCACCATGCGCACGGCCTTGTCGAGCTCGCAGTCCTGGAATATTATCAGCGGGGATTTGCCGCCCAGCTCCAGGGACACCTTCTTCAGGTTGCTGGCCGCACAGCTAGAGGGAAACGCACGGGAAAGCGGCCTTCACCCGGCCCGCCCTTCCCGCAGCCACACGCAGCCACCAATCACCACATTACGAAATGCACCCAAGGCCAAGACCTGGGCCAGGGAGCTGTGAGTCCCACTGACGGCAGGCACAAGCTCGTGGAACTCGCTGTGCATCTCCTGTGTGCTTTGTGTACAGCACGTGCTCCTCGTAACAAAGAGGTTTACAAAAGTTCTGTGGTCAAGCCATTAGGGAGGCGTCTAGAGGCACTGGTGTTCTCCAGGAATCTGAGCTCCCAATCCGGTCTCTAACCAGACGAGGACCGGAGGGGAGGGTGGCAGGCTTTAGACACATGCAGTGTACACGCTCAGAAATTCAGACAGAAGGGGAAAAAAAATCACAAAATTCCTCCCCACGTCTCCCTGATTGCCGTCTTCACCGCTTTGATACACTTATTTCTGGTCTGTGACCCACCACAGTTTTTACCTTGTTTGAGGTACACCCAAGGCAGACAATTTTAGACCTTATTTTATCTCAATTTATCAATTGAACAACAGTTTTCAGCGTCACTAAGAATTATTCATGATTGTGATGACAGTGTTCTATTACAGTGACATATTTTAATGTCTTACTTTGGAAACTTAAATGTTAGCAACTTTTAAAAAACTAGTATTACTGTATCTTGAAGATTCATTAGTTTCACTTTGCTTTTGTTCTCTGAGGTTTTTCTGGGTAGCCCACGCTGACCTTGAATTTGTGGCAGTCCTCCTGCCTCAGCCTTCCGAGTGCTGGGATTTCAGGTGTGTGCCGCTGTCCCCAGGTTCAGAATTCATTTTATAAACAGTCCAGGTTTGGTCATGTATAGGATAAAAACCATTTCACCTCCTTACTCATGTTCCCCAAACAATCTGGGCTGCATCATCAACACAAAATAATTTTTTATATCGGATTGCGTGAAAGCTACCCACGAGGGGTAGGATTTCAATATAGCCCTGGTTTTATTAAGAATGTTCTTCGAAGCTTTGGAAGGTCTTTTATGACAGTCAGGTACTTTAATATCCAGCATCGAGAAGTAGAATAATGTGATTTTTCTCACCCCAAAATACAAAAAATGAAAACAGAAACGTGAAGCAAGCACCTCCCCTCCCTGGTAAGCGGAGACAGGGTGGCCTACTGCAGCCCTTCCAGGGGGAGAACCAGCAGTGTCTCCTGAGATCCATGCCATGTTGAAACTGAGGATGCTGTGAAAACAAACGACCATCCTGCCTCCCTGCTTAGCAATAGTGAACCTACTGCTACATGGCCTAGAGTCAAATATCCCACTTCCCCTATCCTCCTTCTCCCCCCCCGCCCATTAGCAAATGGGAACCAGAAATCTGAGCATCTCCTGGGAGGTTGACCATAGCAAATAAGGGGGACTTCCTTCTACCATCTCTTTGAAGGCAAATATTTTTATTACTGTTTTGCTCTTTTCTAAATAATGGTACTGCTGTATTCAATATTCTGTTTTGATAAGTTCTGTAGTGTTCTATATTTCATCTCATTTTGATATACGTGACTGAAAGAACAACTATTATAAAGGTAACAAAATATACTGTGATACCTATTACTGTTATCCCGGTAACCTGCTGTGAAGTTCTGTACCAATTTCACTGTACGATCTTAGTTGGCTTTATTCTGACTTGTTCTGTTGTATACTTTCAAAATAAAAAAAAAAAAAAAAAAAAGAAAGAAAGAAAACAGAAACGTGGTTAGCGGGACCTTCAGCAAAGAGAGACTGCGAAGTTAGTACCTTTTCATGATCTGTTTGCCGATCAACGTGGACCCAGTGAACCCGAGTTTGCGGATGTCTGGGTGCTCAGAGAGGCGCTGTCCGGCCACGCCCCCTGGGGGGTTAGAGGTCAAACCGGAAGGGAATTTAGGACTCAGGCCTGGGGTGAAGGTGGTCTGAACCCAAGCAGTAGATGTCTAAGCCTTCATTCCAGTCCGTTTTGCATTTTCTGTATTCATTGAGAACTGACAAAAATCTAAAATAACATTCCGCATGCAGTTCCCAGCCCGCCCCAATACTGACGGGTCACCTTGGTGTCCTCCACAGCCTTCACCAAAAGCCCAAACAGTGCCCTGGGGGGCCTCGCAGGGTGGCCCCGCTCCCCACAGGGCCTCCTCAGTGGGGCCCACCCTGCCCTGAGATTTCGAGCCCAGGGGGCTGCAGTGACTCTTGCTGGGGAGATGGGTTTAGATTTACCATAGCTATGGTTTAAGCTAAGGCCCTAGCAGGACAGCACCCCACTGCCACCCACAGCGTCCCTTGCTTCAGTGCAGCTGGAGAGGGGGCACTTCTTGGCTCACCTGAGCCCGGCAGGATGTTGATGACGCCCTTCGGGAAGCCCGCCTTGGCTGACAGCTCTGCAAACTTCAAAGCCGTCAAAGGTGTGACCTGTGGGGCAGACATGGGGCAGCGCTGACCTTTCCCTGCTCCTCCTCCCGCACACCAGCACGGCCCCATCCCGGACTGAAGGAGTGCTCTTTTCGTTGCTTTATATTGGTTCTCTTTTACTGTGACAAAATTTCAGACTCGCAGCAAGGTTACCGAAACACAAGTCCCGAGAATTCTTTCCACACCCTCCAGCTTGATCTGATCCCTCAGGTGTGACTGCACCACCTCTGCCTCAGGATCTAGGTGTCTGTGTGCAATGGTCCACACACTGCATCAACGGGAGAAGCCGGAAAGTTTAACTAAGAGACTCAGCAGGGTCCACAGACAGTGAGCTAAACAAACCTTTCCTTCCTTAACTTGGGCATTGGGCACTTTATCTCAGCAACCAGAGAAAAGTAACCAAGACACTATGTGTATATCTAGCATCTCCCACCCACCCATCACCTATGCATCCATCATCCACTTTTATCAGCTGTCACCTATCACCATCTCTGTTATCTGTCACCTCTCCCTTCACTGTTTAAGGGTCACATACATAGTATGCATTGTTTGCCTCCAAATGTTTTCTATGCATTTCCTAAAATCAAGAAGTTCTGTTACGGAACCACAGTACAGTTTTCAAAACCAGGAAGGCAGCAACCCAGGGGACCCCTAACTGCAGACTTCAGCTCCATTTTCCCAGTGGTTCTGCTACTGTGTTTAAGGCAAAGCCACCATCGTGCAGTGTGCCTGCGGAGGCTCAGGGGCCCGCAGAGCTGCTGAGCTTCCGTTTAGGGTCCATCGCTGTCCTCTGAGAGCGCACAGGCCACTTAGCTCCTGCAGAGCCTGGCCGATTCGCCCGACAGCTCCTCAGACAAGATTCGGATCACACACTTCGGGCAGCAGTCACCAGCGCAGCTTGCTGTTACCTCTGACGGTTTGGTAAAGGCCACCTGCCAGGCTCCCCACTGCGTGTCACTGTTGGTCCTCACAATTAATCATGTTTTGTCGGGAACACTCCTCAGACTGTCCCCACTTACTGTAGTGTCCCCTGCTGGCTCCTGCCTGAGTCATGACAGTGACAGTTGCCAAAGGGTGATTTCTAGTTCCATCCTTCTGCTTGGGCCATTTGCCTTCCCACAATAACAGCGTTCTCTTCCCAGTTTCTGTCTGTCTCTGTCTCTGTCACTCTCTGTCTCCCTCTCTCAGTGGGCACTGTCCTCATGCTGACCCTCCTGCCGCAGCCTCTGAGTGCCGGGATTACCCGTGCTCACAGCCACGCCCGGCACACTCTCTGCTTTGTTTTAAAGGCACCGTCACAAACGCGTCTCTGCACCCGAATGTGTGTGAGGAGCCAAGGCTGGCACCTGGCCCGAGGCTCACCTGCGCTGGCTTGAGCACCAAGGTGTTGCCGGCTGCCAGGCATGCGGCACTCTTCCAGGCCAGCATCATGAGCGGGTAGTTCCAGGGCACGATGATGGCACAGACACTGCGGGGAAGTGCCACAGCCTTAGCGGACAGCCGCACATCGACGCCCCCACGGGCTCCCGACACGGGCGCGGCCCGCCTTACCCAATGGGCTCCTTCCTGGTGAAGGTCAGGTTGTGATTTGGACGGGCCTGGTTGATAGGAATCGTAGAACCCTAGAGAAAAAAAATTGAACACAGTATTGAATAAAACATGCCAAAATAAATGTGAAAGAATCAAAATTTTATCATGCGTACCAGGAGATCAAAGTGCATGAAACTAGAACTCTGTGGCAGAGAAAACCACACAAAACATGCAAATGGAAATCAAACAGCACACTCTTGAATAATCCATGGGTTACAGAAGGAACTGAGGAAGCAATGACAGCTCCTAGAACTGCATGACAGCGGCAGGACACACAGCAGGTGGCGCAGGATGGGATGAGCGCGCCCTCCAAGGGAAGCTGATGAACCCAAGAATGGTTCTTTGAAAGAATGAGCAAACTAGAAAAGCCCTTAGCCAATCTTACCAATAAGAGGAAAGAAAAGACACAGATCAATGCAATTAGAAAAGAAAGGTGAAATCACAACAGGTTCCACTGACATCCTTAAGATTATTAGCAACTATTTCCCAAGCCCGCAGTTCAAAATATTGGAGAACTCAGAAGAAATAGATTCCAAGTTACATATAAATTATTAGAATGGAACCAACAAGACTTAAAAATCCTGAAAATCCAGTAAGAGATAGTAAAATTGAAGTAGTGACAAAAAAAAAAAATACCAACTGGGGCCGGGGATTTAGCTCAGTGGGTTAGCACCAGCCTGGCGAGTACGCGGTTGTGAGTTCGATCCCGGGTACCAAAACAAACAAGCAATAAACCAAAAAACGAAACAAAACAAAATTATCAATTAAGAAAAGCCTAGGATCTGATGATTCCAATGGAAAATTCTACACGAACTTCAGAGAAGGGCTGGGGATTTAGCTCAGTGGTGTAAGCGCCTGCCTGGCAAGCGCAAGGTCCTGAGTTCGATTCCCAGTACCAAAAAAGAAAAGAACTTCAGGGAGGATCTAACACCAACACTCCTCAAACCCTCTAATGAAACCCAGAGGGAAGAAGAGCTCCAAATGTCACTCTTAGATGCTACCAATACCAGGATCCTGGAATCTGACAAAGACCCAACAAAACAGTAAGAGAACGGTAATGAACACATTCGCGAAACTCCTCCCCACGCACTGGCAGAGAATGCAGCAAGTCATCGCAAAGAGGACACACGCGATCAGGGTGGCTCCAGGTCTCTCTCCGCCCCTCCCTGGTGCGGCCCACGCTGGGCTCACCTGGATTTTGTCACACCAGCCGGCAAAGTACCGGAAAGTCTGCACGGACATCCCGATGTGTGTCTTCAGTGCCAGGGTGTAGACGGCCCCCGAGTCCAGGGCTTCGATGGTGGCCAGCTCCTCTTGGTTCTCCTCTAAGAGGTCTGCAAGTCTGTATGGCCAGGAAGAGATTCACTCAGCAAACACTGACGGGGCCGGGTCACATACACAGGCACTGTCCTGCAAACAAGAACTCAGAGCAGAGCTCATGGCCAGGTCTTGGGCTGGGGGTGGCCTGGTGGGAAGCACAGATTCAGAAGGGACTTCACAGATGACCACCTCGGGACTTCCTAGGGGCGAGTGTGGTGCACTGAAACAGGCATATCCCATAGCCCGGCCGAGCCACAGGGATCCACGGTGGGGGAGTGGGAATGTGGGGAGCTCACACACGCAGACTGATGCAGGGTGACAGCCTCGGGACCCTCAGGACAACCACACTTGCGGTGTCTGGCTGGTATAGGAGCATGCTTTTGTTTTATGAGGCAGGGTCTCACAGGCAGCCCAAGTTGTCCTTAAACCCACTACGTAGCTCAGGCTGGCCTCAAATTCACAGGATCCTCCTGCTTCAGCCTCCCAAGTGCTGCCATTACACACAGGTACCACCCCGCCTGGTTGGCACAGAAATATTTTCAAAAGTAACTGAAGAGGACAAGGTAGAAACAGGGTATGAACACACCACCGGGTCCTGTTTGGTACCCGTTTCTTTGGGTAGGTGAATGCAGGTGTGTGGAATGGCTGTGAAACCGGCTGAATCGCCCTTCTTATTGGTACCCTCCCTCTGATGCCCGGCCTTTCCCGTTGCTGCCCTGGGCTTTTTACAGCCAGGCTTGAATCCCCCAGGCCCAGTGTTTGTTGCTCTTAGAGATTTGTTGTTGGTGGTGATCTTTTTGAATCAGGGTCTCACTTTGCAGTTCAGATCGGCCTTCAGCTCGCTTCGTAGCCCAGGCTGGCCTTGACCTCACAGCGGTCCTCCTGCCTCAGCCTCCCGACCGCCAGGATGGATGACAGGTGTGTGCCAACACCCCTGACTTCTCTTAGAGATTTTGACTCAGGTCGGATACTTGGCATCACTGGCATCACTTAGCAGCAAACAGAATCTCGGCCGAATCTAGTTCTCGTGGTGCCTTCCCCACCACTGCCTGCGCTCTCCCTGACCCTTAGCACTCTGACTCCCTCCACGCCAGATTTGGAATTCCTCCTTGGAAACCAGGCTGTGGACCGCTGTGCTCACCTAGCTCGGTCCATTTCCTTGTGACCTTGGCGGGTGACCTTTGCAGACCGCCCTGCCTGGGGGGGGGGGGCAGGGCCCAATTCCCTGGCTCCCTCTCGGCCACCAAGAGCCTTGCAGGAAAGCAGCCTCCATGGCCGCCACCCCTGGCTGGAGTGCTCTGTGGGGGCCGCGCCTACATACTCATAGACTGCTTTCTCCCCCTGGGCCACCCTGACGGCCGCAGGCAACCGTGTAAAATGCAGGAACCCCACGCACGATTTCCCATGCGCAGGTACACGGTCTGCATGGCACCACAGGGCAGGCCGGGAGGCTGAGCACGGATTTGGGAATCCTGAGAACTCACCTGTACATCAGCCGCCCTCTGTCTCGGGCGTTCATCCGTCCCCACTCGCCGTGTTCGAAGGCGTCCTTTGCGGCAGCCACTGCCCTGTCCACATCCGCCAAAGATGCGTAGGCCACTTTGCATATTGTCTGTTTCAGAGTTAGTAAAAATAGGTCACATAACAGGCATATTCCTGAGAGTCTTGAGATTCTTATACAAATAGGAAAATTTTTTTGAGACAGGGTCTCACTATGTGGCCCAGGCTGGGCTCGAATTGGCAGCAATCTTCCTGCCTCAGCCTCCTGAGATTATAGGTGTGCACCACCACACCTAGCTAGGAAAAAGTATTATAAAATCCCAAGAATTTTAGGATAAAAAGTTAACATGAATGGTAGCATGATCAAGAAGAAACAACTAGCAGCTGGAATCACTGACCCAAAACTTGGCACTGGTTTTGCCATGCCGCCCTGCAGAGGGGCGCAGGGAGGACCTGGGTTTCCCCGGCGCCTTAGGGAGGCTGCTGAGCTCTCGGCTTGGGCTTTGGAGTCTGTAGACCTGGGTCCCCTGAGAAGTGAGCCAGGGGCACCCGATTCCTGGAGGGGTGGCAGCACCAGGCTGGGCGGCCCCGAGGACACCACGCTGGAACCCAGCACCAGGCTGGGCACCGCGCTGGAACCCAGGCCCCGGCCACCCTGCACCGGCCCGCACTCACAGAGCCGTCCGCGGGGTTCACCGTGGGGTAAGTCTCCCCGTCCTCGGCGTCCACGAACTCTCCGTTGATGAAGCACTGGTGCGGCATCCTCACGGTCAGGCCGTTGGCCTCTTTGGACACCTAGGAGACGACAGACAGAGTCCTCAGGTCCCCGGCCCAGCAGCCTGGGTACCGGGCAGCAGAGGGACACTCGTTGGCCCTTGCAGAGGCGAAGCTGGGGCCAGGGAGCCTGGGGGCAGGGGGTGGGCCTGGAGATGCCCTGGGGCCCCCGAGGCAGGAGGGTTCCAGATGCAGCGACATTGCCTCGTAGTGGCAGCGTCTGTGGAGCTCAGCCTCGCTTTCCCTAAATCTTTGCTTTTTGGTATCTGGATCGAACTCAGGACTTTGCGCTTCCCGGGCAGGTGCTGGGCCCCTGAGCTTCATTCCCCCATGTTTCTTTGCCTCGCTCCTCCCCAAGGGGCACCTTCATCTGTACACTGGCTCAAAAGTGGATTGAAGCTACTCGATCGCCTTCTATGAAGCTCAGGTTTTTCAGCAACACAATAGGAATAATAACCCGTGCTTCCTATGGCAAGCACAGCCTTCAAAAACAAAGCAGAAATGCATCCCGCACTGCTGTTCCCAGGGCCCTTCAGGGCTGGGGGTTTAGCTCAGCGCACAGCGCCTGCCTGGCAGCCGTGAGGCCGTGAGTTTGGTCCCTGGTACCAAAAAAACCCCAACCAAACAAAAAGAGCAACCAAGAACCCTTTCAGGGTGAAAGAAAGGACATGAGCTAGGAGCTTGAGCCCACGGCAAAGTATGCAGGGCCTGGAAAAAGTGGCCCACAGGCAGCCGCAGCACTCAGCGTAGACACAGCTCGGTTAACACTTTCCGTCTCCCTGATGTGAAAGACCTGCAGTGACCAGGACGGTGTTGGTGCCGCCCTGCACACAGAGCAATGCGCGCGGCTAGATTCACCTGAACACCTCCTTATCCTCAGGGCAACCACTTGGAAATAAAGCAATGGTAAAAGAACCAAGAAGTGAGGACTTCCGGGAGAACATGGCGGACAGATAACAGCAACTACCGGAGGCTCTCTGAAAACTAGGCTCAGAAGCCAGGAATGGTGCGGACTAAAGAGACATAAGCAGGTAGAGTTATGCTCTGCTGACTCAGGAACGAACTCGGCTGAGAGAAACTAACTTGGAATGCAGTCCTGGTGCTAAAACAGGAACAGAAAAGCCTCGCTGCTGAGGCTGGACCCCACGCCATTGGAAGCTGCGATTTGGGTTTCCCGCCGCGCAGTGGCTGGCTGCCTCTACATCGGCTCAGCAAGGAGAGAGACGCACGGAAACTCTGAGAACGGGAGTCTGTGAACGGAGTCGAAAACAGGACGGGCAGGGAGGCATGTTCTGACTTGTGGCGAGGTGAGTGAGAGAAACTGACACTCCACCACAGTTTGACTCCAGCGGACTTTCTGGGCCCGGTGGCGACTCCAGCCACACATTCCCCTCTCGGGCGGGATTGGTGAAAAGTGCCTGGCCTGCGTGACGCTGCCGGCGGACCCCGTAGGCTGGCCCAACCCAGATCCCAGAGCCTGACGGAGGCTGGGAGGCCGGGAGGGGCGGGCCCCACGTAGGCTGCCTGGTGTGCAGCAGTGAGTGGGAACACCTAACCGGCGCAATTCGATCAGGCTGTGGCTGACAGGGAGAGAAGCTGGGCCTCTCATATAAGCTTGCATATATAAGGAACAGAGAATATGGGAAGAGGCAGCAACAAGAAAGGCTCCTCGGCCCCCAATTCTGAGAAACAGGCAATAGCAGACACCACACCATTACACATAAGGCGCCATATAGAGAGCCTCATAGACCAATTCAGGAATGAAGTTATCAACGACCTGAAGCTAGAAGTATGCAAAATAGTTAGAGAAATGCTAAGCACCACCCAAGAAAAAACAGATGGTGGAATGGAAGAACAGAAAAAAAGGGGAGAATTGTTTGATGGAGAAAACAGGGAAAGCATAGAATACGTGAAGCAGGTTCAAAGGGACTACCAAGAAACTAAGAAGTCTATCGAAGACTGGCATAACAGCTTGAAAGAAACTAAGGACAGACTATCTGAACTGGAGGGCAGAATTGTAATATGGGAGAATGAAATGAAAAACTTCTTAAAAATAACAAAGAAACAAACAGCAATAATACAAAGACAAGAAGATGATAAGAGGATCCATAACTTAAGGATTAAGAACATAAAAGAAGAAGTAGGGACACAAACAAATGAACTACAAAAGCTACTCACAGAAATAATCCAGGAGAATTTTCCTAATTTAGCAAAAGGTAAAGATACTCAGATGTATGAGGCATACAGGACCCCAGCTACCTACAACCCAAACAGAGCAACACCCAGGCATATAATAATAAAAATTCCAGAAATTCAATACAAGAACAGAATATTAAAAGCTGTCAGAGACAAGAAACAGACCACTTACAAGGGAGCACCCATCAGAATTACAGCAGATTTCTCTGCACAAACCATCAAATCACGAAGAGCGTGGGGGGAAATAATTCAAGCTTTGAAAGATAATAATCTCCAGCCAAGATTGAGATATCCTGCACAACTGTCCCTGGAAATTGATGGAAAAACAAGGTGCTTCCAGGATAAAGAGGAACTGGGGGAATTTGCAACCACCAATTCAACTCTACAGAGAGTATTGCAGGATATTCTAAAAAAAGAAAAATACAAAGAATCCAGAAATAATGGAGGCCACAACGAATGGAGCAGAGAACAAAGTGAAGAAGACAAACTGACAGCTACTGACAGAATAAGAGCTCAACAGAAATGAGGCAGAGAAGATTGGATGATAGGAACAGCTATTTTGGAGAAAATGACATCTTAATAGGTAATACTGATTTAATATCATCTTGTTTTGAAGTCTCATCTAGCTTTTGTCCTTCTGTCTCCAATGGTCCAAATAGGTTGTATCTTACTGGATTTTCTTATGTATGATAGTATAAGCAAAAACCTTTTAAAGACAAGGAGATTTTACAGAAACCATTGTTCATTTTCTGTTAGTCGATTCTAAATACTCTGTAATGCTGTCATTCTCTTAAATGGTTTTACATTGTTTTGATATACTTAATGCTACAGTACGAAGTTGTACTCAAGGATTTCAAGGAAAGAGACAATATGGTAACTACTTTTAGGTCAGTATTATCTGGTGGTGAAACACTATTCTGCTTAAATGGTTATGTTTTGATCTGTGCTGTTTCGTTGTTATGCCCTCTTTTATCTCAATCTCCACTCCATTATTTACTTTTTTATTTTTATCCTTTTAATTAAAGGAAAAAAATAGCAGGATATATTATAGTAACCCACTTTGACTTTCTATTATCTCAGTTTAAAGCCCTGTATTACTCTCACCATCTGGTTTTTAACTGATGTTCCCCTATTCTGTTTTGCTGGATAGTATCAGGTTCGAAAATTTAGGCATCAGCTGTGAAGATAATGAGATTCATTATAACGCCCATTCTCGTTGACTTTTATCTATTTTTGAAGACCTACAATGTCTCCAATGTTTTGGTTTTGTCGGTTTTATTCTTTACTGTTTTGTTCAATTGTATTGTAACTAATGATATAGGCAATTCTATTAGAGATAGCGGGAGGCATTATGGTAACCATTGTTGATCACCTTGTATTATGTTTTCACATTATCTATTATGTCCACCCTTTTGACTTGACCGATTCTGTTCTGTTATATCACATTTGGTTTTACTCTCTTCCAAAAAAGTAATAAGAACCATGGGAGCAATGAAACCCAAAATGTGTAATAGTCATTGTACAAAAGAGAGGAAAAGAAAGTGCTCTATACTATATAACTGCATGTATATTTAAGTGTATAAGATAGAAAATGATATCACCGAGTCTTATTGGATCATTGAACAGAACTGTTTGCAGTATCATTGATGGAATGTTCACTTTACAAGCTTTAATTTTGTGACTTAAACAATTATTTCTAAGATGACAATATGTAATCCATTAACTAGTGATTTCCTACTGTTCATTTTTTTTCTGCAAATCTGTATAACTTGTACCCTTTCTCTGCTTTTTTTTCTTTTCTCCTTAAATAAAAAAAAAAAAAAAAAGAACCAAGAAGTAATTAAAATGCCGGCCTAGGCAGAATCTAACACACAGCAGCGCGGGAAAGGAGGGAGGGGGAGTCCGCGTGGTGGCTCACGCCTGTCATCTCAGCACTCGGGAGGCTGAGGCAGGAGGATCGTTGTGAGTTCGAGACCAGCCTGGGCTACAAAGTGAGCTCAAGGCCAGCCTGAACTGCACAGGGAGACCCTGTGTCAAAAAAGACACCCCCACACCCCCAAAAAGGAAAAGAAAGGAGCTGGAGCTGGAGCTAAGATACACAGAGATCACAAGGACACAGACAGATCGACTCCATCAGGACAGGACGAGGCTGCTTGCTGGAGGACGGGGCTGAGAACGCACAGGGAATCCACGGAGCGACAGAAAACACTCGGATCCAACGTCCAAACGTACCAGGGACTCACAGCTCCACAGCAGAGTGACTGCCCTGATTTAGAACTGGACACAGGACTGGCAGAGACGCCTCCAGCCCGTGGTGTACACACGCGGGGAGGCTCGCGGGAAGCAGGTACGGGGGTGAAAACCGCAGTGAGACCCCGCTTCCCAGCTGGGACACAGCCAAGGGACAAGAGACGGACAGTGGCCTGCGCTGGGGTTCCGGGAGCCGGACCTCTTGTCCACTGTGGGCGAGTTATAAGGTGCGCAGTTGCTGGGGAACACAGCTCGGCAACTCCTCCAGAAGTGACAGTCAGCGCACGACTGGTTAGTTCCACTCCCCGGAAGTTGCTCAAGACAACCCAGGATGTGTGTGAGAGCGAACACTTACACAGGAAAGGCGGCTTTTCACATCCGCCAAAAGGAAGCGATGACTGAAGCGCATCCACTGATGAACAGGCAACTAGCACGCCTCGCGGTGGAATATTGCTTGGCCAGGGAAAAGGGTAGGTAATGATACACGCTGTGGTGGAGATAAACCTTGAACGCACTATGCTACATGGAACTAGCTGGGCAGAGAAGGCCACAGCATGGGGCAATCCACAGGGACAGAAAGGACATGAGTGGTTTCTACAGAATGGAATGGTCGCCTGTGGGCGCAGTGCTTCTCTGGGGGCTGATGTAGCAGCTTCAAAATTAGAGGTGATGGTCACTAAATTCCTAAAACTACTGGGATGTACATGTTAAGTGGGTGGGTTTTATGGTATCCAAATTACAAATTTATAGAGACAGAAGCTCACTATGTAGCCCAGGGTAGCCTCAAACTCTCAAGTGATCTTCCTGCCTCAGCCTCCCCAGTGCTGAGATTACAGGTGCGCCCCCACGCCCAGCTGACAAAGCTATCTTTAAAAGGTCACTGACGCAAGCAAACGGACACAACAGCGCCTCCTGGTGTGTGATCCTGCCCCATCCGCCCCGAAGCCCAGCAGCCGCTTACATAATCCACGACCAGCTCCTCCTCGCGCTCCTCTCCACGCAGCCTCCTCACCACCTTCTGGATGAAGTCGCCAAACCTGGTGGCCAGGTAGACGTCCTCGTTCCGCAGCTGGAGGCCGCCGCACTTCTGCCTGATCTCTTCCACCAGCCTTCAAGCAGGAAGCAGCTTGTGTTACTTTCGTTTCTCAGGACTTCGGGGACCCTGCTGCCAGCATCTATGGGGTTCCCATGCCAGGCTGCACCCCGGGACATCATCTGGGACAGCAGAATCCCCAAGTTTGGTAAGACTGGGGGTTAGCCTTTCGAATGTTGGCATTATAGCCATGCACCACCATGCTTGGCTCCTCTAAGTATCCTGATCACAGAAAATAGTGTTAATAATGGCTTTCATACACTACTTAGAAGTTTCTGGGAACTTCTGAATCATTGCTGAGAAATCCATAATTTTTTGTCGACTTTTTTTTTTTTTTTTTTTTTTTTTTTGTCTTTTTCCTTTTTATCGGTACCGGGGATCAAACTCACGACTGCCTGCCTACAAGGCAGGCGCTTATGCCGCTGAGCTAAATCCCCAGCCCCCTGTCGACGTTTTTGAGACAGGGTGTCACTATATAGTTCAGGTTGGCCTTGAACTCACTGTGAGCCCAGGCTGGCCTCAGACTCTCAGCAGTCCTCCTGCCTCAGCCTCCTGAGTGCTGGGTTCACAGGCATTTGCTACCTATAATTTGAGGAATCAGAAAACTTGCTTCTTGATAACAGTGTATTATTTAGATGATTATTTTTGCTTCCTAGGGTAAAATTTCCATGAGTAAAGGGACTTTGTCTAGCTTATTACTGGATCTCCATTTCCAAACTGTCTTGGTAACTCTCAAAGGTGACAGGAGACAGGCAGTGGGCAGATGGCAGAGAGTGACCTCCAGGACGCAGACTCCACCTCCAGAGTCCCTGAGGAAGGACGCGTGTGAGCAGGAGGCGGGTTTACCTCACGACATCCATTGACCTCGCTCCGGATTTGAAGAAGTCCGTGGAGGCTTCGATGACCTGGACGTTGCTCAGAATTCCAGCCCAGATGACCTGCGGGAAGGGAGAGAGTGTGAGGAGGTGCCCTGGGAACCACGCGGCATAAGCTCCCCAACCTAGGTCCCTGTCCCTGCCTCTTCCAGGCCAGCAGAGCTGGTAGGTATGAATGGGGGTGACTGGCCCTGCCCTGCTGGCCCCTGGGAAACCTCCACCCACGATGCCACGTCCCTGCCTGCTGGCTGCCTGACGGCAAGGGCCTCGAGGACAGGAGAGTCCGAGTCCTGCATCCACCTCTGAACCTGCGCCCCAGCTTCCCGCATGCCCAAGCCAACCCAGAAAAGCTCTGGGTTACGCGGGTGAGAAAGGAACAGGTACACGGCGTGCACACGCATGGACACTTTGGAGTTGGTTTCCCATTGCAGCTCACACGGAGGCAGGCACCCAAGTTCCCTCCCCACCCCGGAGGACGATGGTGCCTGTCACGAATATGCTTCCCTTCCGGTGGGCCCCGCTGCTCACCTTGATGGTCTCCGCCACCCTCAGCTCCTCGGCTGTGAGTTCCACTGCTGATGCTTCGCCTGCCGAAAAGTACTGGGAGGCGGCGATCATTTTCCCGTCCTCGAACTGCAGATTTCTCACCAGCAGCTGCAAAACAGCCGCAAGGCGAACGTGAATCCTGGGTTGGGATCGTCCCAAAGCCGGTCTGGCAGGAGGAGGAGGAGCGGTGTGGACAGGACCCCTGGGCCACGCCAGACAAAGCCGATCCCTTTGAGCCAGCGTCACAGGAGACTAAGAGTCACTTCCCAGTGTCCACAGTGGGTACTCACCGCTTTCCCATCGCTGCCAAAGAGGACAAGTCCACTTTTGGTCACAAGCCCAGGCTTTGTGGCACCTTTAATGTCCAGGGTGTCTCCGGGAGGCACAGAGCCGCTCAGCAAAGATGAGCCGTAGAAAGTCACCGCCTGCCAGAGACCACAGCGGCTGTCACATCGGAAGCACAGTTGAGAGGGGCACGAACCAGCCTCACCCCGCCAAAGCACCGACGTCGATGTCACACCCACCACGACACCGAGGCACCGTCTCAGTGTGATCACGGATGACAGTAAAGTGCACATTGCCCAAGGCGGCACAAAGCCAGAGGCGTCTGCCAGGGCGAGGCCTGAGGCTCAAGAGTGCCCGCATTCGGAGGTGGTGGGAGGAGAGACCCGGCCCTGAACGCAGGGCTGGGGGTTGTGCAGGTGTGGGGGTGTCAGTTGGTAAAGGGAACAGCAGGGCACGGTGCTTTGGGTCTGTTCACAAAAACCAAGATCTGTAGCCAAGAGCAAGTGACGCCAGCTGGTTTATAATCCCGTGACCATCGCCAGAGTTCACGGGACTCTCGGGTAAACATTTACTTAACCAAACCCTGGCTCTGGCAGGAAGCAGGTGTGTCTGAGTGTGTTAGTGCATGCTATCTCATTTAGGTTCACAGAGCTTCCTAGGGTCATCCGTAACCGAGGCACCCTGGGGTTTAGGTCACCTGCCCAAGGTTCCAGAAATTTGTGGCAGAGACAGAATTTTATTTTATTTTGGTACCGGGGATTGAACTCATAACCTTGAGCTTGCCAGGCAGATGCTTATGCCACTGAGCTAAATCCCCAGACAGAGCCTGAACTTTAATGGCAATTTCTGCTTCAGACGTCACAGTCTTTATGACCGCCCTGACCATCCCACCGTGGTCACTCTGATGCACACGCACATTTCACAGATGTCTACTGGGGCCTGGGCTCCCGCTTCAGGTCTGATGGGAAAGGGAGGCAACATGGAGCCCTGGCTTCCACCCAGGGGACAGTGGTGCAGAGTCCTCCCCACACAACATGCTGGGCTAGGGCGGCAGAGGGACCTCGACCCCACCCTGCTGGACAGGGAGGCCAGGGACTCCCTCGACTCAGGACAGAGGTGCCTTGTCCCAGTCCTGCTGACCTCTCTCCCCTTGGGCCCCTCCTCACATGCAAGGGTCTGGCTCCTTGGACCTTCCTCCTCCCGAAAGTCCTGGACCCCACCTCGGGCTGCCCCGCTCTCTCTCTCCACCTGGTCCCTTCTTCTCCAAGCCCCAGCAATGTGGCCAGCTCTTGGGAGCCATTCCCTGTACACTCACGGGAGCATTGATGTCATGGTGCTGTCTGGGTTGATTTGAGTCTCTGTCTCCCCGCTGGAACCAGAGCTGTACCTGGTGTGAGCTTCCCAACCAACGCCCATCCACACTGGGCACAGAGTAGAGGGCCACCGCCCCTGCCACCCAGGGGCTATCCTAGAAATAATGCCCGTTCCAAAAGATGTGGCCCCCCGGACGCACCTGCCCGTTTATCTCAGCCCAGGCTCCGGGGACTTTATCATGACCTCGGATCCAGTTGTGTAAAGCTTCGGCGGTCTGGTCCCAGCGAATCTAGGGCGGCACAAACACAGGCCCTGAGTCTGCGGTGGCAGCGACCTTCCCATCCGCTGGCTCGGAAGGCGCAGGTGTGGGCAGGCTGGTCTGGGAGCTGAACATCTGGCTAGGAAAGGGTAGATGGGGAACCGCAAAGGCAAAGGGCTGCGGGCTTGGAGACGGCCTGGGATGGACAGAGGTACCTCAGCGTTCACCTTCCTCTGGATCCCTTCATAGGTCGCCCCCTCTTCTGGCTGGGGGATGCGGGGAGCCTTCCCATCCGCTATGAGTTGCACAGCTTCCACCTAAAGCCAGGACAGGACCTGAGTCACAGCCCAGCTCACCACGTGGCCTGGTCGCGTGCAGAGCAGAATTACTGCACCAGGAGCGGGGTGGCGAACCCACGGCATGCGCGCCACAGAGGAGCCGTTTGTTATCAGTTAGAGCTCTCAGAGTGTCGCCGTCACTGGCCTAGAGTCAGGCTGTGATGCTAACTGCCGTTTTGTGAGGTCTGCCTGTGTGCCACGCACAGAAAGAGAGGTGGCTCCTCCACATAACACGTCCCTCGTGGCTGGGCGTGACGGTGCATTCCACCAGCGCTTGGGAGGCTGAGGCAGGAGGATCGCCAAGAATTTGAGGTCGGCCTGAGCTGCATGATGAGTTCGAGGCCAGCCTGAACTGAGTGAGATGTTGTCTCCAACACAAAAGCAAAACATCCCACGAATCCAGCAGGGTGGATATTCTTATTCCTGTCTACAGATGAGGAAACTGTGGCCTAAGGAAAAGTTAAACGGTTATCTCCAGATCACAGAGATGGCTTGGGGGTCAGCAGCAGGGCGGCACATGCAAGGGACCCCTTGCTGGGCAGGGTTCGAGTGCATGCTTAGCGCATGCCAGGCCCCGCAGGAAGACTCAGGCTGGAGCAGCACCAGCCCCTCCTTGGGGGCTCACTGGAAATCTCAGCAGTGTGGGTGTAGCGCAAGACTCACTGTGGGGTCCTGTGCTGACCCGGATGATTCTACAACACAGTGTGTTACCGCATTTGATTAGTTCAACTTGCTTTCTAGCTTAGGGCGCTTGGGGGAAAAAGCTTAATGTGGAAATCATTCAGAGATTCATCAAAAAACTAAAACTAGAAACTCCATTTGACCCAGATATTCCCCTGATAGGTACCTTCCAGAAAGAGTTAAAGACATCGTGCCTCAGTGACCCATACGCATCTGTTTACAGCAGCACCATTCACAATAGCTAAATGTTGGAAGCAGCTTCAGCAGATGAATGGGAATAGAAAATGTGCCATTTACACATAGTGGAGTACTACTCTGTCGTGAAAAGGAGTAAACTTTAGTCATTTGCAAGAAATGCATGAACCTTGTCTCTCATATGAGAAAACCAAAGCATAAATAAAGAGCGAAATAAAAGACAATAATAGGAGGTAGGGAGAGGGATCTTCTCCAGGGGAAGGAGAAGGAGAGAAGGGGTGGGGGAGAAAAGGGAGGGAGGAAAAGGAAGTCAGATGTGTGGCGTGTACACCCACTCCACACAGGCATGCAAATGCTATGTATGGCAAGCCTGAAGTAATAAAAATAAATTTTAGAAATGGTAAGGGCTCAGAAGCCTTTGGGACGTGTCCTGTACTCTCCTTTGTGCTGTCTGTCTGTCTGTCTGCTTGGTGTTGAGGCGTCCTCTTGCTGGGAGCTGTGGAAGCTCAGGTCCTTAGCAAGCGTGCTCTCTCTCTCTCTCTCTCTCTCTCTCTCTCTCTCTCTCTCTCTCTCCTTTCAGGTCATCACCAGGCGAGCGGCTCAGCTCTGCCAAACCTCCCTGCCATCCTGCCATGGCATTCTGCCTCACCACAGTCCCAGAGTGCTGGTGCCCGGAAACCATGAGCCCAAATAAATCTCTCGTCCTCTGAACGGACTCTTTTGTCACTGAGACAGAGTCCCTGACCCTACAGCTAAAAAGACAGGTTTGTTGTGGTTGTGTTTTTAGTCTGTAGTTGGCCACATCCAAAGCAAGAAGGCTGGAGGAGGGACCTGGAGGTAAAGCTGCCCGCCTCCTGGCAGACAGGACGTGGGGAGAAGGGAGAAGGGAGAGGGGAGGAGACGTGCTCTCCCAGGTCACGCACCCGGTCACCCAGCTCTTCCGACCAGATCTGCCCCAACAGCGAGTCAGCGATGGACGCCCACAACCACCACCCTCCAGAACCTCGGCCTGGGTGCAGGTATTGGAGAACATTTAGACAGAAGCGTGACGCTGACCCGGCAGTCTAAGTTGCACAGCAAAATCAAGGTTCTTTGTACTTTACAGTTAGTTGTTATTAACAGGGTTGGAGACAGAAGCATCTGTCCAAGACACAGAGCAGCTCAAGTGCTGTTTTTCTGTTCCATCGCTGCTCTACGGGGAACAAGTCAGCAGCACAGACTAAGGGGTTTAAAGCTCCTTAAGTGTACCATCGCACTGCTAAATATGAAACACGTGTTAGCTTTGTGTTCTTAATGAAAATTGGAAAATATCCCTAAAGCTTTAGAGATTCATTAAATTCTTCTTGATGGCATAAACATACTGACCATGGCCTTGACTCCCTCAGGAAAGAGGAAGCCATTATAAAGTGTGTCCACTGTGTCATTGGGCTTGACGTCGCATGACCTCTGGAGGAGGATGGGTCCTGTGTCTAAACCATCGTCAGCCCAGAAGACAGAAAACCCGGCCTTCTTGTCCCCCATAATTAGGGTCCTGTGAAGAGAAGAGGTTCAGGCAGCGTGGTTAAGCAGACCGTCGGATGAAGCACTGGAGACATTAAAGGGGAAGGTGGCTGCAGTGGAGGACCAGATTGGGAACAAAACGATCTTGACTAATGAACAGTGGCGCTGGAGACCGTCAGCGCTCATAGAAAGCAACACCCAGTGGCGCCCGTGTTCGATGCACCCTGGTGTCGGCAGTCTTTCTTGTTTGTTATACAGTATGACTTGTGTGAATCCAGAAGACGTTAGACTCCATCAATGATACTAGTCTTTGACTTTCATATCTCGGCTTCCTGCTTCAGGGGCAAGTAATCTTCCCACCTGGGGCCTACGCTGTCCTGACCTTGGATTAGGCCGAATAAGAATGGAAAACAAAACAAAACGGGATACTTAATGCAATATGAAGAGCAGAACTGATGATTAATTTAGGCTTTATAATTGAGGTATAAATTTCACTTAGGACTGGGCTGTCTACATAGATTACAAAAAAGTAGGCTGATCGATCCAACTGCTTGCCCTTTGTAAAGTTTAGCCCGTCACCTCCCACACCCCTTCACCAAGCGTGTGGGTGGGGTCAGAGTCACCCTGACAGAAACAGACCCTGTATCTGGGGCTGAAGGCTGCTCACCAGTTGATGGCAGACGCGCCCCGGTGCCTGGGCAGGAGGGACGGGTGGTAGACGATGGAGCCGAGCCTCGGGCTGCTGATGATGTCCATGGGGATGAACTGCGTGCAGAAGGGGAGCACGTTCAGCTCGGCCCCCACCGCTCGGTAGGCCTCGGCCACCTCCTGGACGGTCCTGCCCTTGACCCGCCATCGGGGGAACTTGAACACTGGCGTCCCGTCCTTCTCCGCAGCCAGAGCTGAGGATGACACACGAGACAGTTTCTGGCTTTAGAGGGTGATGCCTTGGCTCAGCTGCTTTCAAACTCGTCGCGTTTGGTTCTCCACGCATTTTGACGTGAAGATTTCATCCTGTTGCTCATCTACTTGGTACTCAGTGCCAGACAGAACTCATCCATCCCCGGGAACTCTCTTTCCGTTCCTAATTTGGATCTCACAGCAACCCCCCCAGGACCAATTCATGACGGGTATCAGGCACCCTGTATCACTGTTGGTCTTTACACTGAATTTCAGTTTCACTGAAACACTTACAAATAAAACACAGCGAAAAGCAAATTAGATTGTGACCAGACCTTGACACATCATAATTAGCCACGCTCCACCAGCTTTGCTAACGAGACATTAACCGATGCATTTGTTATGGTTTATATCTCGATGTCACCCCAAAGCCTGTGCAGTTACAGGCCGGCTTCTTCAGAGCTGGCTGGATCTCGAGTGTGTGGTGTGGGACTAAGGTCTGTGACCACTAAATCAGTCCACGATGATCGGTCTGGCCGAGCTCTGGGTGTGAGTGCTGCCCACCCCAAGGCAGTTGTTAGACAGACTACAAACAGACAGAAAGCAGCGGCCGTTGTCACTGGTTGCTTGTAGCTGGCTGCCTCCTGCCTGCCGTGCACGGTGTCTCCGCTGTGAGGCCCCTCTGCCCTGCAGCCCTGCCCTGGAGGCAGCCGGTTACGGACGGAAACCTCCACACACTGGGAGCTTATTAAACTTCTCCCCCTTTAACTTTAAGTGTCAAAGATTTTGTCTCAGCAACAAGAAAAGTAGCCAAGATAACACTGAAGCATATTATTTATTGGAGACAGAATCTCACAATGTTGTCAGGTGGCCTTGAACTTGTTAGATAGCCCACACTGATCTTAAACTTGCAATCCTCCTGCCTCAGTCTCTCAGTGGCTAGGATTACAGACATGAGCCATCTCTCCAATTTATCTCTGTACTGAAAATATATATGGACTCTGCGGCTAGATGATGTTTTGAAGTGTTAACTGCTTCTCTCTATTTTTTAAGAGCAACCTGGTTCCCTCAGGCCTGGGGGTGTGGCTCAGTAGTAAAGCACTCACCCAGCAAGTGTACCGGTTTCAAGGCCAGAAAGACCATCATTACCGGGCAGGACCTGTAAGGAACAGCTTCGGATCTGCAGCCAATAGCCGCTCCTCCCCGCAAAGTAAACACTCTCAGCCTCCAACCCGCACAGGCCAGCTGGGAGCCCTGCAGTGTCCCCTTCCCAAGGGAGGTGCTGCCCTTGGCCAGATGAGGGACTCTGTCACGCCCCGAAGGAGTGGGCTTTGCGGGACAGACAGCACAGCCTGCCTTCTCCATGAAAAGATGTCACCTTACCACACACGTGAGGTGTGATGAAAACCAGGGAGTAAACTGTTAACTTGTTACACATCGCCAGGAGTCCCTCTCACTCCTGACACACTCATCCCCACGTCCCCGCCACGCTCAGCAGCAGTCCTGGAAGGCCTCCTCTGGGGTCTCTGCGTGGCTGCTTCACTTTCTACAACTGACTCAAAATGTTTATGGCAGTTTCTGTCAAAAACAAATATGATGGAGTCCAGGCTGGACTGGCCGTGGCCCCGGCCCCGCCCCAGCCAGGCCAGGAAGAGCAGCGCCTGGCCACAGGATCCTTGAGCCGCGGCACAAAAATGGAGTGGAGCTGTATGGGGCAGCACGTGGAGGGAAAGTCCAGGGAGACGCCTTGCAGCCTGGTGGCAGACCAAGCAAACAAGCAGCCATGTGGCCTGGAAAGCTGGCAGAGATGTCCTAAGCCACGTGAATGCCGGTGCCCCAGCCAGCGGCACGGGGCAGCCCCATGGGGAGCACAAAGCCAGCTGGGGACACAACTGGCCCAGTGTCACCCTGCAGTTGTACGTGGTGCCGCCTGCCATTAACGATGCCTCCTGCCTGGCCCATGGAGAGCTGCCAGTCGACCCCTGTGTATGCCACCCCAGGAATGGCCAGAAGCTGCCGCCCACTTCCAACAGGCAGCCAGCTGCGCATGTAGCGTGGCTCCCACGGCAGCAGGCAGCGCTGTCTGCCACGGCAGGCCTGTTTCCAGTAACCCTAACTGAAGCTTTTCTCTGCACTTTTTGGTCCCCTTTGCTCGCTCCCCCACCCAATCACCAACAATCCTCAACCCGGGACAAGGTGACTCTTCTGCCACTTAGAAACCTAAGTTCTGCAGCCCGAATAATCCTGAAGGACTCTGGCCACCGAGGTGAGGCCCTGATGGGTCCGCTCAGAAGCACTGGAGACGCCGACCCCAGGGCATTCACAAACGTGGGCGTGTACAGATGCCCGAGCAGCACACCGCATGCCACGTGTCAGGAACACGCACAACAGCAGTAAAATGCGGTGACAGGAGAAGCCTGCAGAAGGTTTATGGGAAGGAGAACTAGGTGGAGGGACAGGTGGGTGACTTCGCCGTGTGAAACGTGCCTCTGTGGAAGGGGCCGGAGGGCCCAGGGGTGGCTCCCCTGTTTTGGCATTGAGCTCTCTTGGGCTGTTCTGGCTTCCCTGGCCCACGGTCCTGACAAGCTCCATCAGCGCCCATCACTCTAAATGAGCCCCCGGTGCAGTGTGAGGACTCTGCAGGCACCGTCTCCCCGGCTCCTCCCAGCAGCCCTGAGCCAGGCTCCAGGGGCTGAAGGTTTGGGGGCGTCCCCTTCCCCCTCACGGCCACTGAGTGCAGAACACGTGTTCCCAGCCACACCCTGGCCTGGCCCCGCCTACTCTGGAAGTGGACTCACTTCTTTTCCTTTCCTGGGCTGTCATGAGTCTGAATGGCCATGACCAGTGGAAAGGGGCGACACAGACCCTGGGCCCAGGCACCAGAAAAGGGTTTGTTTCCCAGGATTCACCCTGAAGTGAGTTCAAAAATCACATGCATGCAATTCCACGGGCACGGCAGAGACTACGGGTTACCCCCTTCACCTTGTAGCAAAGGTTCCCCTGGATCCGCCATCCCGAACCAAATCTATTTCTCAGGTTCTCCTGCAAATGGAGGGGACCCGAGTGTCACAATTTGTGCAGTATGCACAGGAGAGCTTTCTCGCTGCTTCCCCCTTCCTGGCTGCTTGCTGGGATGCAGCCCTAACTGCTGATGACCGTGAGAAGGAAGCCCCATCTAGATAACACCGAGACAGAGGATGGAGGGTGCACACTTGGGAAGGAAGCACATGGAGGCCACAACAGTTCTGCCACCAGTTCAGAAGCCAGAGTGCTTGACCGAGTGGCCCAGGACGCACTCACCCAGGGGGTCAGCTCGCCCATCTTCGTCCGGAACCGTGAACACCCCCACCACTCGGTGGCCCTCTTTGCGGAGCTGGCTATAGACTTCCTGTCCGAAGAGGCTCTGGCCGATCAGCGCCAGCTTCAGCTTGTTTTTGAAGTAAACCTGGGGGAAAAGAATTCATCAGTGGCTGCTAAGTACGGACCGGAGACGCTGGGGAACAAATGGACCCGGCCATCAGCTGAGACGGGTCAGATCTGAGTAGGAGGGCGGGCGAGCCGTGCAGTGTGTGAGCGAACATGGTGCCGCGGGAAAGGCTGGGGCGATGCCACTCACGCTGCTGCGGCAGCCACGCGCGGCAGGCACACGAACAGTGACCCAGAGGGACCGAGAGTGACGGCCCGGGCGTCGGCTCCACCAGCCCAGTGCTGGGCTCTCAACACAGCACGCAGGCCTGGGACGCGTTCCCACACATCATGGGAGGGGCTCACACACAGGGAGGGGCTCGCTTGGGCACCTTTGCGCACACGGATGGCACACATCAATCCCTCCTCTAAGGCTTGTCTTCTTCTTCCTTGTCATCTCCTTTAGCTCCACATACAAGAGAAAGCCTGGCATTTGAGGGTCTTCCTTCCTTCCTTCCTGGCTCTGGGGATTGCACCGTCTCACCAAAGGCCGTTTTGTATTTCAGGACAGGGTCTCATGCCAAGTTGCCCTGGCTGAGCTGGAGCTTGTGATCCTCCTGCCCCAGCCTCCCAGAATGCTGGGGTTGCCCTTACAGTCCTGACTTTCCAAGCCCTTTTAATAATTCAGAAAACATGCATCGAAGGTTCATTAATATGCCTTTAACTCTCACGGTGATTCTTTTTACAAATGAGAAAACGGGACCGAGGACGGAGTTTAGTCACTTGCCTGAGGACAGAGCTATCAGGGCTGGGGCAGGACTGTAGCCCGGGTTGTGTCTTAACCGCTGGCGGTGCCTCTGTGGTTTTCCTGGGTGGAAGTCCTCCTCCAACTCCTTTAATAAGAGATGGGGTCTCCCTGTGCTGCCCTCGCTGGTCCTGAGCTCCCGTGCTCACCGGCTGTCCTGCCTCAGCCTCTGGAATAGCTGGGGCTCCTGTCCATGCCACCAAGCTCAGCTCGTCCTTTCCCACTTTTAAAAGCAGGAAACGTGTCAGCAGCTTGCCTGGCCTGCTGTGGAGCTGTGGGGACAGCCGCTGAGGGAAGCTGGAGGCTTCCCCTGTCAGGGACATGACGCCCCTTTCTGAGGGACGCCCCCGGGAGGAGTCGCTGCGTGGCTGAGACATAGGCAATGATGCCTGCATTTCCAGATCTGCTGACACCAGCCTGTCCCTAGCTGCATCGGTGGCCGAGCTCTTCGCAGGCAGCAGATCGTATGCTTTGCTTTTCCACAAACACTGCTCCCCGAGCAGCTGCCCTTGGTGGAATCCTCCAGGCAGCGAGTTAACTCGGCCTCTGCTCCAAGTGCTGAAACTGTACCTCATCTCCCGAAGGTCATTGAAATGCCTGGAGCTAGAGTCTGCCCTGATCTGGAGCTCTTCTGTGATGCAGATGCTACCTTAAGAGAACCTTCTTTCTGAAAAATAAATTTAATAAAAGAGAGAGATGGGGCAGGGGCTTGGATTCTGTTATGCTGGGCCACTGCACTGGTCTGTGTGCCTGCAACCCTGGTGCTCTGGGAAGCTGAACAGGAGGGCCGTAAGTTTGAGACCTGCCTGGGCAATTTAGGGAGGCCCTTTCACAAGATTAAAAAAAATTAAAAAGATGGCTGGGCGAGTGGCTCAGTGGGAAGGCTCTGGGTTCTGTCCTCAGGATTGCTCCCCCAGCCCCTAAACTGGCTGAACTTCAGTTCTCTTGAAAACCAAGTTTGTCGCTTCCCACACAGCAGCATGGGGTGGCACCAAGGGGTAGCCTGGCCTTCACGGGTCCTGCCCCCGTCCCCGGTGGGCACTTCCCTTGGGAATATCACACCAAAGTCTGAAGTAGGCGGTTTTCTGTCCGCAGGAATGCGGTGCTTCTTCCTAATGAGATGTTAGTGGCTCCGATCTGGGCCAGAGGACCCAGGGAGGCTGGGCAGGGAAGGGCTTGCTGGGACGGAATTCCTCAGCTGTATCCAGAGGATGAGCCCTGCTTGGAGCCAGTTAGGAAAGGGGAGGGGATCCCAGGAAAGCATTAAGGAGCAGCAGAAATGGACAATGTCCAGGCAGGAGCAGGACTCAGGGTGAGGGCTGGTGTGAGACCCTGTCTGTATCGAGTAACAGGATCTTACTAGAGCCAATGGGCATCACCAAGACACTGCACAGGATAATGACGTGGGCTGGGTTCTGTGTGAGCCGCTCCTGAGGCCTGGATCTCTTGGGACAGGCACCCTGCTGGTGTCTGCAAACTGAGCTGAGCTGCGCTGGGCTGCAGGGCTGATTAGCCTGACCTCCGGGATCTGCCTCAGGTGGCACGAAAGCCCACGGAACCCAGGATGACAGATTTGCATCCTCACAGTCAGAAGAACAAATTACACTTCGCATCCAGGTAAGTCATGCAGGATTCAGCCAAGGTTCGGGCACCGCCGTGGAGACAGCTGAGCAACAAGGCCCTCCCATTGCATCATTTCATGGAGCAGTGACGTGGCTGTCCTGGCTACAAGGCCAGCTTTTCCTCCCAACGCTGGGGACAGAACCTTGGGCCTCCTGTGTACCAGGCAAGCGCTCTACCATCGAGCTACACCCCAGCCCCAGTAATTCGTTTTAAACATGTAAAGCAGAAAAGATATTTCAAAGATGGTGTCAGCACAGGGACCTATTAGCAGGTGAGCCCAGGAAGGGGCTGGGAGCTAGAGAGAGCTCCTGGGGTGATGCAGGGGAGCAGGAGGCCTTTCAGACTCGAGGGAAGTGGGAGACAGCACACGCGGCCAGAGACAGGACTTTGGGGCAGAGTGCTGACCCAGAATATTCTCATTGCATGGAAACGTAAGGATTCACTTTTATATATATATCCTTCTCATTAAAAAAAAAAAGGTCACAAAGCCTGTCACCCCCTTTGGTCACCACCCCACATCCAGATTCTCACCACCTTCCCCAGAAAAAACTACCATGGGACGGTTTGGAGTGCACCCCACACACCTATTGTCAGAATTAAAGATACACATAGAGTACGATTTTGTTTAAAAAACACGTAAAAAACATTATGTACGTCACTATCCTGTGCATAATGCTCTCTAGCTCTTCTCACCAATGCACAGAACTCGCTCTTTAAAACCTTGATGGTGCGGCCACATCACAATCTACTCAGACATTTCTCCGCTGCGGGAGTCGGCGGGGGGGGGGGGGGTCAGGCATTTAATATGTCATTGCACTGAGCCGGGGTGGCAGGGCTGTTCTCAGCCAGGCGCAGGGGCACTGTTAAACGTAAATCTTAGTGGATAAATCTAGCGGTGCTTGAGGAAATATTTTCTGTCCCTCGCAAACCCCCAAAGCTGTCACACTGGAGTGTAAAATGCTATCTTAAGATCTCGGTTCCGTGATTACAGCCTTGGTCAGCACATCTCCCTTCTCTGTGACCATCTTATTCACGGTGCTGCATAGTATTTATTGTTCTCCACCTAAAAACACCAATGTGAACACCTTGCAAGCAGAAACCATTTCTTTATCATTTCATCCTTTCTTTTCAGAGAGACTGAAAAAGTTGCAAGTTTGCTAAGTCTGTTTCCTTATCTATAAAATGGTAAATGTATCAGTGAGATGTGAGAATTAAAGGACTATATAGGTAAAGCATTAGCACGGTGCTAAGCACAACATCAATTCTGTTAATATTAAATTAGGCAGAATTCAGAACACAGCCACGAAATGCTGTTTGAAGCTGAATTCGGAGGTCCGAAGAACAGACCAGCTGTGCCGGGCGAGAACTCCAGCCTTGAGCTACACCCCGGCTGGACAAAGGTTTTAAAAAGACGGTTGTTCTAGGTAAGAACACCCAGCCACGCCTGAAATCGTTCAGTATTTTTCTAAGTCCACTCTTTAAGACAGAGGATGAAAAATTAATTGTTTTAGGAAGTGTTACAAGTCAGTTTCTTTGTGGGTTTTTCTAGGTTTTTTTTTTCCATTTGTCTTCCATTGCTCTTCTCATAACCCTTAAGAGCGCTGTTTTCTGCGGGTGGTGGTGGTGGTAACGGGCACTGAGCCCGGGGCCCTCCACCACTGAGCAACACCCAAATCTCCTCCCTCCCTTCTTTTCTCTTTCTTTCTTTCTTTCTTTCTTTCTTTCATTCATTCATTCGTTATTCTTTAAAATTTTGAAACAAGGTCTTGCTAAGTTGCCCAGACCAGCTTCCAACTTGCAGTTCACTTACTTCAGCCTCCTACATAGCTGGGAATACAATTTGCCTGGGTTGGTTTTTCACTTTTTAAAGGGAGGAGGAGGCAGAACCTTGAAGAGATAGGGGAGGGGTGGCTAGGTCTTGGGGGGACCTAGCTGGGGGGATTAATGCAAGTCCCTGGGCTAGGTTTGCTCCTGCAAGAACAGGTCCCTCCGGAAGTCCTCTTCTCCACCACCTGCTGTGGCAGGGCAGACACCTCCAGACTGGAGCTAAAGTAAACTCTTTTCTTTATAAAGCATCCAGCCTCAGATACTTTGTTATAGCCATGGCAAACTAAGAGAAACATAAAGCACAGATATAAGAATATCCACCCTTGTCAGTGTGCTCAGTTCTGTGGGCCTCAGGAGATCACACACCACCACAATGAAGATTTAGAAGAGCTCCAGCGCCCCTAAAACTCCCTAATACTAACAGTCACCCCTTCCTATCTCAGCTCCGAACAACCACTGATCTCTACTTCCATCTCTACATTTTATCTTCTTTAAAATGTCAGTGAAGTCATAAGATGTGTAGCTTTGTGGAGCTGGCTCCTCACTCTTAACAAACCTGAGTGTGTTTCCTCCACACCCGTGTGTCTGGTTCATTCCTCCCCGCCTCACTGCACGTCTCGATAAACCACGACGTGTGTATCCCGCCACCTGCTGAAGGCAGTTGGTCCTCCCGGGTTTGTTGAGGATTATGAATACAGCCCCTTCAAGCCCTTGCAATGGGTTGCTGTGGAGCCGTGAAGTTCATTGCTCTGGGAAATGTGGAGGACTGTGATCTCGGAATATGTGAGCATGTTATGAGTGGGGTCTGCCGACTTCCACCGTGTTTTATCTGCTCACCAGCCATCTGCGCGCTGGGGTTTAAGTAATTCTGACCAACACGGACCCGACCATAGAGCCCCTTTCCCCGCAGAGGAAAGCATCTCCCATTCTTCCCTTTGCATCTGACATCTTCCTTTGGGCCACTGAGAACCCTGCCTTCTTCCGGGTGGCCTGTCTGTCACCTCCTCCCCCGGACAGTGAGGCTCTGGGGGGCCCGCTGCTGCTCCCCACTTCCACAGGTTGTTGCTGATATCCTTCACCCCGCTGAGATGTTCTCCTTTCATTGTTGAAAATACACGAACCCCTCTGTAGAATGCTACCCCAGGTCTGCAAAAAAGACGTCCAGGCTGGCTGCTGGTCACTGGGGAGCCCAACTGCACCGCTCGGCGCCACCTGTTGGGCCCCAGCTGTTGAGCAGAGGCCCAGCAGCTGCTGAGGGGAGCTGAGCGGGTCTCACCCTTCTCACCTTCCAAACCGTGCTAAGCACCCAGAAAGTGCATGAACTAACAAGTGACACGAATTCCCATTATTTGGGGTTACCTGGCGGTCATTCAGGCAAGTCTGGGACAGTTGTTGGGGCTGTTCGAGTCTCTGCCTCTAACTTTTTGCACGTCTGCATATTCACTATTTGTGCTTCGGCGAAAACCAGCGCATCAGCGGGCTCCGGGCAGCACAGCCAGCTTGCCCGTCCACCCAGGCGCAGGTTCGTTCTTCTTGAGCAGCAAGCTGCCCCGCGCCCCGCCAGCCTGGATCCCCGCCAGCCCCGCGAGGCTGCGCCGTGCAACGTGGAGCAGCTGATGCAACGCGCGGGCCGGGCCGGGCCGGGCGGGCTGGCGCGGGTTTCCTGTACTGGCCGGCCGCGATGGTTCTCCCCGCGGTGGGGACCAGCGGGGACGTGAGACCGACGGTCCCCCACCGCGTCGCCCCGGCCGCATCGACAGGATCCGCGGAAGACAATGGGCTGCGTGGCAGCTCCCACGCGGGACCCTCCCGCTGCCCGGGCGGCGGGGCCCCAGCAGCGCCTCCGCCCACCCCGGTCTGGACCTGGCCGCGCACTCACCCGGCCGGTGGAGAAGCGCCGGAGCGCCGAGCCGCCCCGCAGCAGCATGCCGGACAGCAGGCAGCGGGCAGCGGGCAGCGGGCAGCAGGCAGCGGGTGTTAGCTGCGAGGCTCCGCGTGGGCGCGGCCCGCTGGATGCAGGCTCCGCAGACCCCGCCCACGGCAGTAGACCCCGCCCACCACAAACAGATCCCGCCCACCGGGCAACGGTCCAGCCCCCTCGATTGGCGGGCACAGCGCCATCCACTGACAGGATCCGCCCCTTAGATTGACAGGCCCCGCCCCCTCGGCTGGCGGCCAATCCCGTGCGAGTGGGCGGGGCGCGCCTGTCCCGGGCTGGGCTGCCGGAAGCCGCCCGCTTTCCAGCTGGGGGCCTGAGCCCGCAGCTGCCTGGATCCTGCGTCGGCTCCCGGGGAATCTTCCGGGTTTTGTTTTTAATTAGTCCACGTGTGCAGTACACAGTGATTGCATTCCTCGTGGGGAGCTGTGAACGCTCGTAACACATTTTCATTCTTTGTTAGGTCCCCGCCCCTCCTCCCTCCCTCCGCTCTGGGTCTCCCTTCCAAGTGCCAAGGTCCATCTCCCGGTTACTCAGAGCCTCTGAGTAACGCAGGCGGGATCGAAAAACACGGTGAAAGTCTGCATTTCTCAAAAACATGCAAACAGTAGAAAACGCAGGTCATGAAAACCCCCTCAAACTCCCTTTCATTTCTGAGGGAAATTCGTGGCAATGTGTCTTTTACTACAATAAAATTTTAAAATTTAAATATTGACTGTATACGTGGATCATTCCTCACTCACAGATGGGCACTGTGCATGGTCACTCTGACCCCCGAGACACATCCAAAACCCAACGAACGGAGAAGGCCACGGGCAGGGCCGTCTGCATAGATTATGAAGGAGGATGGCGTCTTCGCTAGGTGCCCCCTCCAGCGGGATTCGGTGCGGCCCACCGGGCGGAGCGAGGCGGGTCCCCAGGAGACGCCAGAGGTGGTGCTTCTGCTTGGACGCAACGCCCAGACGAGCTGCAGCTGCGCCCTCTGCAGCCTGACACTTAACTTCTCTCCGCTCGGTTGCAGAGTGCTTGTTCTCGCGCAGGGCTCCTCAGAAAAACTTGGCACTTACCATCACCTTGGCAGGACCAGTTTTCCCTTTTCTTCAAGGAACTACACAAACGCTGCGCTGCCTCCCGGAGGCCGTTTTATTTACTGTTGCTTTGCTAGTTTTGTTGCACTGCTTAACGTCCGTAGTCCCCAGAAGCAATCTATCACTGCTTTAGGTGGAGAGGAGTTTTTGTCTGAGATTTCCTACGGATGTCCCAACCGCCTTCTCACTGGAGTTTGCGCATCTGTTATCTTCTCTATCGGAAGCTGCTTGCGGGCCGAATTTATGACTGATTTATCAGAATTTACGGTCTCTAGCACTAAGCAAAGGTTAATGAAGACAACTCGCTGAAAGACAGTAAGTAAATGTGGTTAAGAGGGTAAGAAGGAGGAAAACAATCCTTAGAGTCTGGAGAATTACAGTGAACATTCAGGGTGGAGATCTGGGAACTATCTTTTGCAAAATTCAATGCCTTTTTCCTAACTGCATTTTGTGACTTGCCTTTTTCAAACTTTCAAATTTTGATGCTCACTTTATTTCTTCTGGCCTGTGTATCCTAGGAAAGGGTGAACACTTGTGCTTTCCTCTGCGGGAAGCAACAGAATTATATATTGCCACTCCCAAATTTAGAAACTAGAGTTCATGTTCACCACAAAATAGTGCTTTCTATGTGTGTTTTTGATCCCTCTGCAAGAACCCAAAATGTAGCTCCACTGATAATTAGAGGCTGAGAATTAAAGAATTTGAAAATCGAAAATTTCTTCAAAAACAAGGATGAAGTAATGTCATTTTTAGAAACAAAGCTTGACACAGTTTGTCCTCCCTAGATACAAAATAAAGGGAAAATTAAATAGTATCCTGCTAGCAAGATTTAAACTTAAACATGCCAGCAAGACTTTAATTATAAATGCTTTAATTAAAAGATTGTCAGGTTGCTTAAAAACAAAACTACAAAGATTTTAAAATAATGATTAAAAAGTCTATTCCAAACCACCCAAACACTAAGGTGTCAGCCCAAAAAATAAATAAGTAAATAAATAAATAAACCTTCTGAATTTGTGTAGACTGTAGTTAATAATATAACTTCAATTTCTTTTCTTTTTTGAGACAGGTTCTTGCTATGTGGTCCAGTCTGGTCCTGACCTCACTATGTAGTCCTGGTTGACCTCAGACTTGTGGTGATTTTCTTGCCCCATCCTCATGAGTGCTGGAATTACAGGTATGCGCCACCATACCTGGTAGATAACCTCAAATTCTATAAAGCAAATGCTGTCATAATTTTAAGGAAAAATTGGTAAAGTTGCACTCATACCTAAAGACTTTAACATATCATTTTCTTTCTTTCTTTTTTTTTTTTTTTTTTGTCTTTTTCCTTTTTATCGGTACCGGTGATCGAACTCACAACTGCCTGCTTGCAAGGCAGGCGCTTATGCTGCTGAGCTAAATCCCCAGCCCCCATATCATTTTCAAGAAGTGAAAAAATGATATAAGCAGAACAAATCAGGAATAATCTATATTTACATGGAATAATTAATGTACCTGATGTAATTAACAAATATAGGCACATCCATGTTCTCTATAGTGATATTCTATCTCTACTTGTGTGTGTGTGTGTGTGTGTGTGTGTGTGTGTGTGTGTGAGTTGTCGTGGATCAAACCCAGGACTTTGCACACACTGCACAAGTGCTCCACCACTGAGCTACACTCACACACACTCAAATACAATCTGTTTTCAGAAGTGGCCGTCTGCGAGGCTTCAAAGAATTTAAATCACAGCATATGGCCCCGACCACAACAGAATTAAGCTAGAAAAGCGTACACAAAGATGACTGCTGTACGTACCTCTCCTTTGGGAGTGACTAAGTCCCTGTCTGGATAAGGACGGGGCCCTGGAAGGGGAGCAGTCTGCCTTTGCGGGGTTGCTGTATGGGGAGCGCTGCATCGGTGGACAGGTCCGAGGCGTATTTGCTGAGGGGAAGAATGAGAGAGGAAGCAATTCCTGTCTAGAGAAGAGATGCAAAGTGAGAGCACATTGTGTTCAGTGTTCACTTGGGATGAGGCTGACTTGCTAAGACTTCTTGAGAAAAAGTTGTAAATGGTGTGGACGAAATGGAATGTTCTGGAAAATACGAGGCTGAAACAAAAATGTAGATCAGTGAGAGGTGGTCAGTGACCACGTTCTTGCTCGCCTGGACTTTCCACATGCAGACCGTCTTAGTGAGCGTCTTAGTAAGACTTTTGTCCCAAAATAAATTGCTGGGGATGTGGCTGTGTGGTCCAGTGGGCTTGACCTGAACTGTGGGTCTTATCTGTATTATTTCTCCTTATATGTCACCTCCATTCAATATGTCATCAAGACTGACAACTTCGCAGGTGGCTATGTGAAGTGTTCTCTATGTTCTCAATTTTTCAATGTTTTTGTTTTTGTTTTGTTTTTTGAGACAGGATCTCGCCATGTAGGGCAGGATGGCCTTAAAACTCATGGTGATCCTCCTGCCTCAGCCTCCCGAGTGCTGGGATTACAGGGTACACCACCACACCCGATCTTTGAATGTATTCTTAAACTTTGAATTATGACTTAATCCGCTGATTAAGAAGATGCTGTAATCCTTCATCATGACACATCAACTTGAACAGATTAAGAAACTCACAGGACCTTCGCAAACCGTACTTTGGGGTGTCTCTACGGATGGCTGGCATGTAGGCCAGCGAACTGAGGGGTGAGACCAGCCCTGGAGGTGGGCGGCACGGTCAACAGGCTTTCTTTCGTCTGGACGGAGTAAAAAGGGGATCAAAGCGGGAAGAGTTCCAGCCTGGCCCCCTCATTTTCACGCCGGTCTCCCAGCAGCTGCTACACCTCCAGCTCTGCGGTGTGCACACCACCACGTGAACACTCTCACCTCTGGTCCTGAAAGTTACCTAACACACCCCCGCGGGTAATTGCGTATTTTCAGTTGCTTGTGCATCTTGAGGGAACCCTGATACAGTTCAGAATAATATAAGTTAATCTGCTGCATGTACATGCTGTATTTCCTGTCTTTTACTAAGTAATAAGTTTTATGAAACTGTGAGATATTTAAATTCATGAATCTGATTTACAGCGGTACCTTGGCTCATGAATTTAATTCCACGATTTTGGAAAAGATGGCCACTTTCGTGTCCATGCGAGAAAGATGGCCGAGGTCGTGTTTGTTACCAATATAGAGTCTGCAAACAAAATAAAAATTTTGCCAAACACTTCTGTTTGTGAACCAAATTATTAGCAAACAAAAGTTTCATGAACTGAGGTGTCACTGTATGTCACTTGACATTATGATCCCATTTCCCTGACAATGACTCAAGTTCACCCTTCCTTATTGGTTGGTGGTACCCCATCATGTATAAACATCTCTTCTGCCTTATCCAGTCATCCACTGGCGCACACAGGCCGCGTCCAAGATTCAGCTGTTGTGAACTGTGCCGCTATAAACAGGGTGACTATGGGTCACTGTAACGTCTTTAAGTCTTCTGGGAAGATCCCTAGAAGGGGAATAGCTGGGTCAAATGGAATTTCTTCTCCTTCCAGCTCCAGATCATAATTCTTTTTTTCCCCCAACTCCATTTTAATGAATGGAATTTCTTGTTTTGGTTTCTTGAAGAATCTTCATATTGATTTCCATGACGGTTATGCCAGCTTACGTTCCAGTCAGCAATGAAAAAGGTTTTCTGAAGCCCCCAGCCCCTATTGTCACCTTTCTTGACGATGCCCATTCCTTCTGGAGCCAGGTAGAATCTCAGCCTTGCTTTAATTTGCATGTCTGCAAGGGCAAGAGTTGCTGATATTAACTGGTGTACAGGAACGCTATTGATCTTCACGTGCTGACTTTGCATCCTGTTACCCTTCTGGATCTGGTCATTGTTCCAGGAGGCTTTTGGTGGATTTTGGGGGTTTTCTCTGTAGAGGATGATGTCATCTGCAAGTGATGATAATCTGAGTTCTTACTTTCCTGCACGTATTCCTTTTATTCGTTTCTCTTCCCTGATCGCTTTGACTAATGTTTTGGGATTTTGCACAGCGGTGGGGACAGCAATCTCCTTTCCTTGTTCCTGATTCTAGAAGGAAAGCTTTTAGCTTCACTCCATTTATTGTGACGTTGGGCATTGGTGTGTCATATGTGGCTTTTTATCAGATTGAGAAACACCCGTTTTGTCAGGTTTTTTTTTTTTAAAGAATGAATGGTTGTTGGGTTTTGTCAAGGCTTTCTCTGTGTCAGCTGACACCACTGTGTGATCTTTGTCCTTGCTTCCGTTTATGTGATGTTCTGTATTTACTGATCTGCACATGTTGCAAGGTCCTCGCATCCTGGGATGAATCCTCTTGGTCAGGATGTAAGAGCTTCTTGATGATTTGTTGCATCCTGTTTGCCAGTTTCTTGTTCAGGATTTTGCACCAATGGTTATTAAAGACATTGGCCTATAGCTCTCTTTTTTGGTTGAGTCCTTTTCTGGTTTTAAAATTGGGATAATACTAGTTTCCAGGAACGAATTTGGGAGTACTCCTTCCCTTTTCTTTAAACAGTTGAGGACAGTTTGCTTATATCTTGCACAAAGTTCTTGTGAAATTCGCCAGTGAACCCATCCGGACCCGGCCTTTCCTTAGTTGTTAGTTTTTATTATTATTATTAGGAATAGTGTTATTTCTTCAACCTCATTGAGCAGCATTGGATTAGTCAGAGATTTATGGCTTCATTTTTGGTAGTTTATGTGTACCTAGGAATCTATCCATATCTTCTGAATTCTGTTTTATTAGGATGCAGATTCTCAAGGTAGTAACTAGTAATCTGGGTCTCAGCAGTCTGTTGTGATTTCACCATTTTCATTCCTTTTTTTTTTTTTTTTTTTGTCTTTTTCCTTTTTATTGGTACCAGGGATCGAACTCATGACTGCCTACTTTCAAGGCAGGCGCTTATGCCGCTGAGCTAAATCCCCAGCCCCCACACCATTTTCATTTCTAATTGTACTGATTTAGGTCTTTTCTTTCCTTGTGTTTGTTTGTTTGTTTGTTTGTTAGTTTTTTGAGAAAAGGGTCTCGAATTCACTGTGTAGTCCAGGCTGGCCTTGAACTCACAGCCATGCTCCTGCAAGTCTCGGTTTTCTGCATCTAGCTGTGAGGCCTGGCGGTCTGTGTGGTGCCCATTCTCTCTTACCCCAGGCTGAAGCAACATCCAAACCAAGACACACCCATGTCGTGGTAGTAACAGGGAACACAATCAGAGCTCAGATCTGGGTGTGGGCGGCCGGGCAAGGGTTCCAACACTTAATGCCCAGGTGCTTTCAGATCCAGCTAATTCTTGAATGCAAGTGAGACCAGATCTAGTTTCTCACCCAATTAGAGATTAAGAGAAAGATTTTGAGGTAGGGAAATTGAGGCGGATTATCCAGGTGTAATCACTAAGGTCCTTAAAAAAGGCAGGAGCATCAGTCAGCAGTGGAGGTGGTGACTGTGGCAAGTAATTCCACAGTGGTGACTGTGACTGAGTAATTCCTGAAAGCTGGAAGGACAAGGACTTGGATTCTTTCTCAGAATGTCTGGGGAGCCTCAGCCCTACCAGTACCTTGACTAATACTTAGCTCCATGAGACTGGGTTTCATGATCTGAGCTCCAGAGCTGAAAGATGACATGTGTGGTTTATCTTATTTATTTTTGAGCCAGAGTCTCGCTCTATAATTCAGGCCTTGAATTCACTATGCAGCCCAGCTGGCTTTAAACTTGCAGCAATCCTCCTGCCTCAGTCTCTTAAGTGCTGGAATTACAGGCATGCACCATCACGTCTGGCTATGTGTGGTTACTTTAAGCTACTAACTTTGAGACAATTTGTTACAGCAGCAATAAGAAACTATTCCTATCACAGTGGGCATATGCTTATGTCAGCGTGGTAAATACTAAGGTGCCTAGGGCTGGAACACTCTATCCAGTCTGAGATTCCAGATTGTCCATTGATCTGTGTGATCCCACAATCATTGGTCACCCACCAGCTCAGGAATCCAAAGGTCCCTTAAATCAAAGAGCACTTTGGAAGAAGGCTTGTATTATATTCTCTGAGGTACAAACTCCATGCCCAAGAAATAGGAATCCACGGAAGCTTTTGTAGTGTGTGTGACCTGATCAAATAGGTTTGAGAGGATGTGGCCTCTAAGGAACGTGGACAATGGAGAAAGGGTCTGTCACACAGCAACTGTCACATGACAGATTATTTTGTAAACATAGTAATGCCTCGGTTCACAAACGCTTCTGTTCCTGAACAATTTGGCTCACAAATAGAACTCTGCTTTGAAGGACAAACATGATGATGGTTCTCTTCCCCGGAATCATAGACTGAATGGAGTTTGAGAATTGAGGTAGCATTGTAAACACAGGAATCCTATTCACAAGGATGTGCAGGACTGACGGGTCATTACGTAAAATGTCTCGGGTTTTACCATAGATTTTCAGCTGTGGGAAGGATGCCTTCATGTATATTTTAACACAAGCACTTAAGTCCTTGGTTATTTATTGTGTATAACACACAGTATTTTAGTTTGGAAAAGACTGGTGGTTATGCTATATAGCTACTTAAACAACTGTAGATGAAACTTATTTTCTGTTTTTGCAGTGCTAGGAGTTGAACCCAGAGTCTTATGCGTGCTAAACAAGCAGTCTACCACTGAGTTACACCTCATCAACTTTTTTACAAAAGCGACTGTCTATAAATTCATTATAGCAAACACTTCTACAGTATGTGATAGGTATTGTCCTATATATGTCATACGTAAAAACTAATTTAGTTCTTGTAAGAATCCTATGAGATGTTTATTATTTTTATTTCCATTTTAAAGATGAAGAAACTGAGGTGGAGTTTAAATTACTTGGCTTAAAATCACATGGCTAGTAAGCAGCAGAGCCAAGATCTGGATTTCAGCAATTGAGCTGTTAAACTGTGCTCTCAATCATGACATGACAGTGCCTCTTACACTAATTTATTTATACAATGGGATATTTGCAAATTCAAATTGCTTTCACTTATAACTTTTTTATTACAATACCTGCTGAGAATTAATTATGTTAATTAGTGCTAATGTGAAGAAAACCAGCAAAGCCAAACTTAGCCTGATAAGAAAATAAAAATCACCACATATTAAGCACTAATAATGTTATTATTTTTAAGTCCCCCCCCTTCCTTTCCTTCTAAAATGACTTGCCTATAGCTCAGCTCCTTGTTAGGTTGAGACAGGAGGATTACTTGAGCCCACAAGTTTTGAAACCAGCCTGGGCAACATAGCAATACCATATTTTAAAATAAATAAGTAAATAAAATGTCTAGAGGACCAGGTGGGTAAGGATTTATGCTTCTTGCTATATACTTTTTACATCTAGCATGGTAGCTGGTCCCTAGGAGCACTCAATAAATACTTGGTCCACCACAGACGTAATGGTTTCATGTAGTGGTCAGTTTTTCATCCCTGTAACAAACTCCCTGAGACTGGGGGACTCTGTAAGCAGGAGTTTATGCCTGGCTCACAGTTCTGGTCCCAGAGTGAGGATCTGCACATGGTGGCGGCCTCCTTGTTAGGGGAGGAGGCTGCAGCAGGGAGCGTGCGTGTGTGCTCACCGTGCTGCTGCACAGCAAGTCTGGCCTTGAATCTGGAATCCTCTTCCTCGGCCTTCCACGGTGCTGGAACTGCAGACGTGTACCTGCGTGTCAGATTACTCTCTCCTTGTAAAGCCAAGACGATTCACCCATTAGGGCACCACCGTAAAGCCTGTGTCAGTCCGAGTCACTTGCCAAGGACTCACCTCCACCCCACAGTGGGAACTTTTCCTTTCTTCTTTTAGCCCAGTTGGTGGGGAGTGGATTAAGCCCTCGGCCTCCTGCTGGCTCCTTGGCTGAACTACATCCCTACTTACACAAATTTGCCTCTTAATTTCTCACAGTGAGAATCAAATACATGAGGCTTTGGGAGACACACTCAACCCAGATCCAAAGCACACCCAGGCTCCGGGGCACAGCGGTGTTAGCTGGTCAGAGGCTGAGGCTGCGTGTTTAATTCCCAGTTCTGCAAAACACACAGAACAAACCACAGCATCTCACAGCCATGCTCAAGACTGTGCTCGATGCTGATTAGCTTTGGTACTTACAGTGTTGTACAAGTAAACTCTTAATAAGTTTATCTTGTTAAAGATTAAAAAACATTATGTCTTCCCCGGTTAACC